CTTCGTTCCGCTCCTTGAGCAGGTTCTTGGTCTTCCGCCTTCTACTGGTCCTGCTCCTCCCTTAGAGTGTCCACAGCCTGTCCAGTCGCAGTCATAGTTACAGCCCGCCTCCCCCCTGCCTGCTCCTTCTCCCTACACTGGTCCTACTGGAGGTCTTGCTGAGCGTCGTGAGCCTGCGTCTCGTCCTGCGTCGCCTGTTCGTGCTGCTCGCACTAGTAGTCGTGGTTCGCGTCAGCGTCCTCCCCCTGTCCCCGGCACGCACCGGATGTCCCTGCGTCCCTCCACTGCTCCGCTGCGTGCCCCTTTGCCTTCTCCCCCTGAGTCCTCTCTTCCTGTTCTTGCTGACCCGGAGTCGGATTCCCTTCGTGCTGCCAGTCCTACTGTCACGCGTCTCCTGGCTACTGTTGTCACTGACCCTTCCTTTGAGTCCACTGCTGCGTCTGCCTTGGTTGCTGAGCTTGTCGACTTTGCTGCTCGCTGTCGTCTAGACTACGCCGCTAGTCTTGTTGCTGAGTCTGAGTCTGTCTGTCCTCCGTCCGTCGGGGGTAAGTGTGCTCCTAGTACGGACGTCCTTGAGGACAGGCAGGAGGAGTTCCAGTGTTTTGCTGCTGCTTTGCCTCATCTCGTGTCCACGCTGATTGCCCCTGAGGGAGACCCGGATGCACCAGACATCCCGACTCCTCGATCGTACGCTGAGGCGATCGAGGGTCCCTACTCCTCATAGTGGCAGTCAGCCATGGACGCAGAGATGGCTTCCTGGAAGTCCACAGGCACCTACGTCGACGAGGTTCCCCCACCTGGGGCGAACATCGTCAGTGGCATGTGGATTTTCAGGTTGAAGCGGCCGCCGGGTTCTCCGCCTGTCTTCAAGGCGCGTTACGTGGCTCGAGGCTTCAGTCAGCGGCAGGGAGTTGACTACTTTCAGACCTTCTCTCCCACCCCGAAGATGACCACTCTTCGGGTGCTGCTGCACATAGCCGCTCAGCGCGACTACGAGCTTCACTCTCTTGACTTCAGTACAGCTTTCTTGCAGGGCAGCCTGCACGAGGAGATCTGGCTACGCCGCCCACCTGGCTTCACTGGGTCGTTTCCTCCTGGTACCCAGTGGAGCCTCCGGCGGCCAGTCTACGGTCTCCGCCAGGCGCCCCGTGAGTGGCACGACACACTGAGGACTACACTTGCGGCTCTTGGGTTTGCTCCTTCTACTGCCGACCCGTCGCTGTTTCTGCGCACTGACACCTCTTTGCCGCCGTTCTACATCCTCGTGTACGTCGACGACTTGGTCTTTGCCACTGCTGACACTGCTGGACTCGCCCACGTGAAGTCTGAGCTGCAGAAGAGACACACGTGCACAGACCTGGGTGAACTGCGCAGCTACCTTGGCTTGCAGATCACCCGGGACAGAGCACAGCGCACCATTACCCTGACTCAGTCACACATGGTGCAGCAGGTCCTTCAGCGCTTCGACTTCACGTACTCCTTGCCTCAGGCCACTCCTCTGTCTACTCGCCACTCGCTCTCAGCTCTGCCTTCGGATGAGTCCGTAGAGCCGAGTGGCCCGTACCCAGAGCTTGTTGGCTGCCTCATGTACCTGATGACCTGCACACGACCTGACCTTGCATACCCTCTTAGCATCTTGGCACGCTATGTTGCTCCTGGGAGACACCGACCAGAGCACATGGTTGCAGCGAAGAGGGTGTTGCGCTACTTGTGCAGTGCGTCGGGCATGGGGCTAGTGCTTGGAGGGCGGCGTTCAGTGGTCCTCACAGGTCACGCAGACGCTTCTTGGGCTGACGACCAGGCTACGCAGCGGTCGTCACAGGGTTACACCTTCAGCCTTGGTTCCAGCTCTGTTTCGTGGCGGTCTACCCGCTCGTCTTCTGTTCTCGGCTCCAGCTGTGAGGCTGAGATCTACGCGGGGGCCATGGCTGTACAGGAGCTACACTGGCTCACCTACCTGCTGACTGACCTAGCAGAGTCGCCTCGTTCTCCTCCAGTTCTGTACGTAGACAACAAGGCCATGCTGGCCTTGTGTCGGGAGCACAGACTGGAGCACAGAACGAAGCACATTGCTCTGCGCTACTTCCTTGCTCGTGAGCTGCAGCAGCGTGGTCAGCTGCGCCTTGCTTACGTGGCCTCTGAGGCCAACACTGCTGATATCTTTACCAAGGCACTTCCGCCTTGTGATCATCAGCGCTGCTGTACGATGCTAGGTCTTGTGCCTACTTGGCCTCACTTGCTCACTTCTTGACCTTGCTTGTACTGTGATCTTTCTATACCTGCACTTGTTTATTTACCTTTTATATATGATCTTGCATGTGAACTGGCCTTGTGGCCTTGAACTTGTGCTCGGAATGTGTGGTGACGTTGTGATCCACCCTGAGCTTGCTTTGCTTTGCTTGACTGGTCTTGTGACCCCTTGTTCTCCCCCACTTTGCCTATGGGGGTGTGTCAGACTTATATGACTTAGCCTATGTAGGCTATAGTGGGGTAGCACATATGGGGTACAACACATTTCTAGGGTTTGTACTTGTACCCAACCTTTCCCCCTAGTCAATCATTCCTCATTTTTTCACATGTTCTGACAAGAACAGAAGCTTGGCAAGCCTTATAATCCACTCTAGCTCTCATACCATGCTGATATAACTTAAGGATCGTTGTGAATAGGATAAAGTTGTCAGAATCCCAACCACTAGACCATTGGGATAAAAGGGCTTGTTTCAGTAGCGGGTCAGTGCGCCCATAACTCCCCAGGCAAACGCGCCTGTAACCCCCCCTAGGATCGATCGAGGATCTCACAGTGTAGCTCTACTGACACCCCCCCACACTGGGTGGCCCAGGACTGAGCACAGTGGCAACGGCCAACATGTGCATACACCGGGATTCGAACCCGAGACCGCTCTGATACCATGTCAGAATCCCAACCACTAGACCATTGGGATAAAAGGGCTTGTTTCAGTAGCGGGCCAGTGCGCCCATAACCCCCCAGGCAAACGCGCCTGTAACCCCCCCTAGGATCGATCGGGGATCTCACAGTGTAGCTTTACTGACAAAAGTTGCCAAGTGTAAAAGAGAACTTGTGAAGTCTTTGTAATGACCTTGTTGATTGATTGAAAAGAACAAGATAATTATAAGATAGAAGTACAAGGGTATAAATAGCATTCCTAGCTAGCCATGTACTCTGAGGGGTACATTCCCTTATTAACTGAATTGCATTGCTACAGTAACCCACGACTATTGCTATTCTAGGCTGTTTACCATGTTGCACTTTGTAACTGCCTCGTGCGATTACCTGGCAGTCAAGGGTCACGACCGTTGACTGTCTTCGACTGTTGACCTTCGGGTGACCCTCGAACTTCCGCGTGCTCTATATGAGCTATTGCGGTACTGGTACAGGCGTGCACTTCGTTATGGAGTGACGCGAGAGTGGAGAACCTTCGGGAATGTTTATAATAACCTTTCGGTTATTCCAACACATGTCACAGACTCGAGCGGGAGGAACAACCGCCCTGCCCGGGCAACTTCATGACTAGCCAACTGTCTCGCCCATCCCGCATACCTGCCCGCAAAACCCCACCCACGATTTCCAACTCTGTCCTGTCATCCCTCCTCCAATCTCTTCATCTCCTTCTGCTGATATATGTTCTAGGTACGTTTATCTTCCAATAATGTTAGGTCTTCACCAATAAAATTGGGCCAACTGTACCTCCTAATCAGTCGCACAAAGTAGAGATACATCAGCTTTTTGTGACACGCAAATTTGCAGATTTACAGGCGCGGCTTGGGAAAAAGGGGATTGAGACCCAAATGTAGACGCAGGAATGTACCCTAAGTGCTGGAAGTGACATTCAGCCCATTGTTGAAAATTATAGCATTCCATTGTCACACGTACTAGCATATCAGAACACGCTATCTATGATCCCATGAATTCCAAAACTGCAACTGGCCAACCTGGAGTGCGGAGGGAGGAGCAAGGGTTGTGGTCAACAAAAACCGCGGAAATCACTGCACCTGCAATCATGGATTCGGTTTCGTTACGTATCGTTTCCGTCCTGCCGTAACAACTTCGTGCAGCCTGGCTTCCGCGCGTCTGCGACTGGAACAGAGTGCTCCACCCACCTCCCTCCTCAGCAGGGTCGTTACAGTAGTTCGCGGAAGTCTCAGCTGACCCAGTGGCGATGTCGGACCATAAGTCTCGTTTATCGTCTGGTCGTCACAGCGGTTGTCGCACACTCAAATATAAACTCTAGTTACCGTTTGACATCGTTCGTGATCTTTCGTTAACAAATGGGGTACTCTCCGCCGTCAACCTCATCCTTGGTTCGAAATGCAGAGAGCACGTGCAGCATTTTCAGTCCTCCTCCTAGCATTACCCCCCGAGTCCCCCCCGTCCGTACTGTATCTGGTGAAGGTGTGGTTGTGAGCAGCAGATTCCATTTTGATGTACAGTGTACTCCCCTTGCTCAGCTCTGCTCTGCTCACGTTAGTGTAGTTGAACTAAGTTGATGCTTCAACATGTTTCTTCACGCACCTGCTTCTGTTCTGCTTCACTCAGCCATGAGATGAGAGTCTGAGTCGTCTCAGTGCCAACCGAGAAGGTTCTTACCCGGTTTTTTTCTTGATACGGTGTTCCGTCACGACTCACGACAGACGGACCTTGTTTGCCTTCACTGACTTTCCTTTGCTGACCCCTTCCAAGAACACCAGCTTAACCTAATTCGGCAGCAGCCTGTGGTAGTAGGAGGGAACTTCAGCCCTGAACATCTAGCGCCCGTTTCGCAGATTCTAACACATCAGCCAATGCGTCTTGTTCACATCGTCGCGTGCAGCGTCCTTCGCCGAACGTGCCGCTCCGAACGAGCGTCGCTTAACGTGCCTCGCTTAACAAGTCCCCTTCGAGAATTCTCAAACGTGGAGTTCGACGGTCTCTTGACGGTTCCTTCGGCTCCTTCTGTCGCCACTACGCAGCCCTAAGGCCCGTTCGTACATCCACGAGACAGATGAGGGGATTTCAGGATTCAGATGGGCAAGGCGGTCGACGATGGGGGACTGGGATCAGCGCCGCATCGGACGGAACAGGAATGGAAAGCAGCGCCACGGGATACGAGAGGAGTTTCGGCGGTGGTTATGGGGCCGCTGTTAGCGGCGGCGGCGGCGGTGGTGGGTTAAGGTCGCACCGTTCCGTTTCGTTGGATCCTAGACAAGCCATTCCAGAGGACTGGATAGACAGGTACGACGATTACGGCGACAGAAACGGCGACACGAATGACGACTGGGGAGGCTACGGCGGAGGGGGAGGGGGAAGGGGAGGAGGGGGAGGGGGTGATGGCGGAGCAGCGGGAGGGGGATCCGGCGCGCGGGGTGGGGGAGGTGGCGGGAAGCGGGAGTGCTGGACCGCCTGTCCGTACGCTCCTGGGGATGTGATTCTGGTGAAGTGTTCCAAAACGAGGTGGTGCTACGGCGAGGTGCTCAAGGTGACGGAGGACGGCGTGCGACTGTGGGTGGACGCCGTTCGCAGTCGCATCGACGTGCCGCTCTCGCTCGTCGCGTCGCACCTCTCGTCCGACCCCTCCGTGCTCTCCGGAGACGCCGCCGGAGACGCGCGCGACGCTGGCGCTGCGGGGTCGGCGGCATCGGGATTGTCGGGCGGCGGTGGTGCGGGCAGGGACGGCGCGGGCGCGGGCAGGGATGGGAGTCCGGTGGGAGATGATGGGCTGTCGGGCACGGGCGGGAGGCATCGTGGGGGTGGTGGTGGTGCTGCTGGTGGTGCTGGCAAGAGGAGCTCTGCGCACCATGGGACCAGGTGCGTGCTGCTGTGCGGAAAAGTCGTTCGGCGTGCCGCCGTATTCCCTCTCCTCCGTTTCGCGCACTCTTTCTCTCTTCGCCTGCCTCCTTCCCTTCGTCTCCCATCTCCTCCTCATTTCCTCCACTTCTCCTTCCCTCCTCCCACCTCCTCCTCCCCCTATCTCTCTCTCTATCTCTCTCTCTATATCTCTATCTCTCTCTCTCTCTCTCTCTCTCTCTATCTCTCTCTCTCTCTCTCTCTCTCTCTCTCTCTCTCTCTCTCTCTCTCTCTCATTCCCCCTCACTTTCTCCCTCGCTTTCCGACCGCGCAATTTTCCGAACCCCTCGCACCCATCAGGACCGCGCAAAGCGGGCGCGGCGGCGGCGGCGGCGGCGGAGGAGGAGGAGGAGGAGGAGCGGGGGGCGCGGCGATGGGGACGTGCTCGACGTGCACGCTGGCGATTCGCGAGCTGCCGGTGGTGGGGTGGGAGTGCGGGCACAAGTCGCACTTCGCGTGCGTGGGACGGCGCCTCAACAAGGGCCTTACCGACTGCGCTTTCTGCCTCACGGTCAAGGTGAGCGCGCGCGCGAGAGAGAGAGAGAGACACGCGCGAGGGACGATTGATACGCGAGGGCAGGAGGGGGAGTGGGGGAGAGCAGGGGGGAGCGGGGGGAGGGGGAGGAGAGGGAAGGGGGGATAAGGGGGAATTCGAGTTTTTGCTCGGAATACACCGTCGCCTCACGGTCAAGGCGAGAGGGAGGCGTGGGACGCGGGTAAAGGAGGGCAAGGGCGAGCATTTGAGTAAGGGAGGGCGAGAGTTGACTGGAAACATGCCTGCCTTCGCCCCCTCGTCGCCCCCCTCACCTTGACTCGTGTGTTCTGTTTACATTTCCGGGGTTAGGGCAATGGGGTGAGCGCCCACAAGAAAGAGACGAGGGAAAGGGAAAGGGAAAGGGAATGGAATGTGGGTTCTCAAGAGTCCCATTACCACACGTTGAAGGTGAGAGTCGTGGGCCAAGGGAAAGCGAGGAGAGACGAGGGGGAGAGGGGGCGTGTCATCAGGGCATGGGGAGTGTGGCGAGGTGAGACTTTTGAGAATTCTGAAAAGGTCCAGTCAGCTTATCTTATCTACACACGGTTGGGGTTTCAAGGGCAAAGCTTGATCAATCAAGAAGGGCTGGGCCATGGGCGACACTTATTGCGACACGTGTGTGTGCTTCCCATTCGAGCCGTCAGCAGTATTATAAAAGTGTTGCTAGTCATGCAGTTCCAATCTTAGTTGGAGTATACGCTCTGAACATTTTGCGTATTGCGTTTATACGCGCTAAAAAAACGACCGCTGCGTTTTTGGTTCGGAAACGCTGAAAAACGCTCGGGCAGACCGGGAAAAAAAATCAAAAATTTGAGTTTCGTTTAGCGACATGGCGATTCAAGTGTGGGGTTTCGCACGTCGCGAGTGCAACCCCGAATTCGAAATTTGAAACCGAGTCGCACCAAACCCACCCTTTACCATTGCAAACCCCCTTGTACCCCGTTCACTTCCAACCTCTTCAAATACAATGTTGAGGTGAGTCCCCCTCAACCCACCCACCATTCCTACCATAAATGCCGTGTCTTTCCACTCGACTTTCATTACTCAGTTTAGCTCTCTTCTTTAGCTCGCCTTTCAGTATGGCGACCCCTCCTGCAGCAACACTCAGTACTACTACCCCTACTGCAGCTCCTAATGCTAGTTCTGTTGAGGAAACCAGCGCCGGTCTGGTTATCATGCACGAAACCCATGCTGTGTACAAGCATTTCCTTGTGAAAGCCGGCGACGACAGCGACCACGCCACCAAGGTGTGCATGTATTGTCGCCACAAGTTCACGGGCGGTATGTACCTCGCTGCTCAGCACATCACCAGCTGGAAGGGTATGCGGCGTCGTGAAATCCGCCTCTGCGAGGAAGCTCCCAAGACTGCGCGGGATGGAGTGAAGTCACAGTACGAGACGAAGTCCAGGACCCGGGACCAGAAGCGCGCGGCTGAAGTCTCGGCCGTTGCTGCAGTTTCCGGTGCTTCTGGCGAGGCGAAGAAGTCTCGCATGACCGATTTCTACGGCGACGCGTCAGCCTGCAAGAAGAACGATGCCGACGAGTCGATCTGCCTCGCGTTCGCTGCTCTGCGCCTCCCCGAACACCACGCGGACCACCCTGTTTGGCGCAACATGGTCTCCTGCATTGCGCGTGCGGGCGAAGGCTACCTCGCACCGAGGCGTCGCTACGTCGGCGGCGTCGGGCTCCAGAAATGTCGTAAGCGCATTGAGGCGGCGCTTGCTCCTATCGCGGCGAGCTGGCGGCGGGATGGCGTAACGGTGTCAAGCGACATGATGACTGATCGTAACGGCCGTCCGCAAGCCAATGTCCTTCTGATCAACGACAGTGGCGCGGTCTTCGCTGAGACAATCGACACACGGATGGAATCGAAGACGGGAGGTTACATCGCGGGGCTTCTCCGTCCCATTCTCAAGAAAGTCGGACCGGAAAATGTGGTGGCATTTTGCATGGACGGCGGCTCGAACTATGCGGTGGCGTGCAGGGAGCTGATGGAGGATTACCCCCACATTGAGTACATACCTTGTGCTACCCACGTCCTCGATCTGTTGATGGAGGACGTGGGGAAGATGGACTGGGCGAAGAACCTTGTCACCCGCGGGGGAGAGATCATCACCTTCACACGCAACCACCACTTCACGCGGGGGTATTTGCGAAGCTCCGAGGTCAAGGGCGGGAAGGGCAAGCAGGTCCTGAAACCCGCGGGCACTCGCTTCGGGACGCAATTCATCGCTATTTCCCGCCTTGTCGAAGTCCGTGCTGCCCTCGTGCAGATGGTTTTAAGCGATGAATGGAAGGAGTGGGCAACAGGGGCAAGGAGTAAAAGCGCGGACACTTTCCGCGAGCACATCATGGACGAGGCTTGGTGGAAGAAGGCCGAGTTCTTCACCAAGCTCATGGCGAAGCCGTTCGCCGTCATGCGGGCTACGGATGCTGCGACAAAGGGGATGATGGGGCGCCTCTACGACGCCATGCTGCAGCTCACCGAGGACGTGGATGCAAACCTCGAGGAGCACTCCGCGGGTCACCTGACGAGGGCGGAGGTTAAGGAGATCCGCCTCATCGTGAAGGATAGGTGGGATAAGTGCTTGGCGTGCCCCTTGCATGTGGTTGGCAGGATCTTGAATCCGGTCAACCAAGAGGAGGGCATCTTCAGAAACGACATCGAATGCACGCGCGTGCTGAAGGGCTACATCGCCAAGCACTACGACCACCTCACCATCACCGCGAGCGACGGCGAGGAGCGCCGAGCCTCTCTTGTGCTGCAGGAGGAACTGACGGCGTACCTGACCCTGCAGGGGAGTTTCGGGCTGCCCACCGCCTTGGAAGACCGCGCGGCTGTGAAGGCGGGGAAGATGACGGCCGTCCAGTGGTGGAATTGGCACGGCACAGATGCGCCCCACCTTGCTACGTGCGCAATCCGCAACCTTTCGCAGCCGGTGTCCGCGTCGCCCTGTGAGCGCAATTGGTCCATGTGGGACGCGGTCCACACGGCAAGGCGCAACCGCCTCGGGTCCGAGAAGTGCAGGGACCTCGTATATGTTGTGCACAACTGGCAGGTTGTGCACAATTGGTACAAGGTCCCTGAGGGGCAGCGGGTGGTCAAGGGCAACATTCCTGAGGCGCCCCTTCCCGAGGGCTACAAGGTGGAGGAGGATGGGGCGGAGGAGGAGGTTGGGGAGGAAGAGGACATGGTTCTTGAGGATGAGTATGCATAGACATGCATGTGGGGAGGGGGTGGTATGGGATGGGATGGGATGGGCCTATGAAGTGTAGTGATTCCTGAAAAAGGGAAGGGAAAGGGAGGTGGGGTAGGGGGTCTAGTGATGTAGGCAAAATGTTGTGTGCATGTAACCTGCCCTATAATAAAAAGGGGAAGGGAGGTGATGGTGCCTTGCACCACCCCCTTCCCCACATCTTAACCCAAAAAAATTCACCTGCCCGAAACTTTTTTTACCCCTGCCCGGCCCTGCGTTTTCACTGCGTATTAGACCCCTCCAAAGCTGCGTACTGCGTTTATACGCTAGCGTTTATACGCTAGCGTATAAAACGCGAAACGCGTATACTCCAACTAAGGTTCCAATGTGTTTTTCTGGTGTGTTGTTCCACAGTCCACTGCATGCGTGGTTGCCATGGGCCTGGCTGGTCGATTGCTCAAAAACCATTTCAGACACAAACAAACAAAAAGTCAAGCTTGTGATCGGTGGTGCAAATCTAAGCCTGCAATGCAAACGAACAGGCTCGCAGATGGATTAACGAGTTGTCTGAGTGGATCATGTAACCCACCTGTGGGCATCCCGCCAGGTAACTGATGTGTGCGTGCCTTTGCCTTGTCATGTCATCCCATGTCTATTCAATTCCACGTTGCTCCATTTCACCTGGATGGCTCCACTCAACTCATCTCGGATCCACAAGATTAGCTTAAGTTGTCCACCCCCTGTTGCCTGGCCTTCGCTCTGCTCTCCCCATAGAGCTCTGCATGTCTCTCTCCTTATCTCCTTGTCTGCGCATCCTTTCACCCACAGCCCATCACTCACTCACTCCCTGTCCCCTCTCTCTCTGGCCCACGCTGGTGTCACAACCGTGTGCTTCTGAGGGTGCATGTGCTTCTGAGGGTGCATGTGCTTCTGAGGGTGCATGTGCTTCTGAGGGTGCATGTGCTTCTGAGGGTGCATGTGCTTCGGGGTATGCACGTATTGCTGATGTGTTGCTGGGTATGCGTATGCATGTGCATGTGCATGTGAATGTGCATGTGCCGCTGCATGTGCATGTGCGTGTGCATGTGCAGCCGCATGCAAGGGGAGCAGTGGACGCATTACTGGAGGAGGTGTGGTTCTGGTGTGTGTGCGGGCACCACTGCACCATCGATGCTCTGGAAGAGGACCCCGCATCCAAGAGCTTCTGCTGCCCCCTCTGCCAGGTTCGTGGTTTTGGGGACCTTTGAGAGATTTTAAAAGGTTCTGGTGTGTGTGCGGGCACCACTGCACCGTCAATGCTCTCGAGAAGGACTCCTCTTCCAAGAGCTTCTGCTGCCCTCTCTGCCAGGTCTGAGGTCCCACCACCCCTCCCCTCCTCTTCGCCTACCAACCACACACCACCACTCTCACCGACCAAACCGCACCAACCTCACCTACCAAACCCCCTTTCGTTTCCCGTCTCTCTTCCCCCCCACCCTCCTGCCCCCCTTCTTCCTCTCTCCTCCCTCCCCTCCACTCCTCCCCCCCTCCCACTTCCCTTTTCCTCCCGCCTGCCTCCTCTCTTCCCGTCCTTTTTCGCGCCTTGCCCCCTCCTCTCTCCTCCGCCTTGCACCCATTCGGATGCTCGCTCACGCCACTGTAACCCCGCGTCACTTCTACCTCCTCTCAGTATCGTTTCCCCACTTTCCCCGCTCATGCTGCCTTTCTCTAGGCACCTCTCCCATAGGTTAATTTCTGTTTTTTTTCCTACACTTCCCTGCCCCCTTTGTCGCCTTTGCTGATCCTTCCTGCTGTGCACACCCTTTCCTTCTTGCTTCCACTCACACTCTTCTATTCTCTCATCTGCTTGCGTGCGTGGCTGTTTGTCCACTGCTGCTGTGCTTGCTAACTTCTGCTGGTGTGTGTATGTGTGCAAGCGCGCTCGCACCCGGCCGAGCATGCATGCATGTGTGTGCATGTGTTTGTGCGTGCATGCATGTGTGTACGCATGTGTGTGTGTGTGCTATGTGCGTGCATGTGTGCATGTGCACGTGTGTGCATGCATGCGTGCATGTGTGTGTGTGTGTGCATGTGTGCTTGTGTGCATGTGTGCATGCCTGCATGCAGTATGACCCGTGGAGCGTCACCAAGAGCAACGGTCTCATATCCCATCGCAGCCTGGGCGTGAGCATGGATACCTCCGCCGACACCCACCACTCTTCCTCGCACCACAACCACCACCACCACCAGCAGCAGCACCCCCACCACCCTCCACAGCATCCGCCTCAGCATTATCAACCCTCCCAGCAGCAGCAGCAGCAGCAGCAGCAGCAGCAGAATCAGCAGCAGCAGCACTACCACTCTACCGCCCTGCCCCCTGCTTCCGCATCCCCTTCCCTCACTACCGCCCCCCGCTCTCTCTATGCCAACCGCGTTTCCGGTCACTCCGACCCGGATCTAACACTCAGCTATCTCCCCAGAAGACCTCCTGCATCCACCCCTCCTCCCTCCTCCTCCTCCTCCTCCACCACCGCTCCCTCCCTCTCTCCCATCTCCCACCACTCGCAGCACCCCTCTGCCGCGTCCTCTGCTGCCTCTCCCCAACTGAAACCGATAGAGAGAACCCTATCCACGGACCTTACTCCGTCCATGTACCTCCGAGTGTCGACTCTAGATCGCAACCCCCGCAGCTCTTCTTATACTTCCGCTTCTGCTTCTGCCGCTGCTGGTACCCATGGTGCTGGGGCTAGCTCAAGTAGTGCCGGTGGTGGTGGTGGCGGCGGCGGCAGTGCAAGCAGCAGGAGCAGCGTTGCTGCTGCGGCGGCTGCAGCAACAGCAGAGGCGTTCCCCCAGTTTGTGCGCACCGCAACACTTGACAATGCCACACTGGGACGGGTGAAGCCAATCGAGCCAGACATGGGATTCGGGGGAACGGTAGGGGGAGGAGGGTTCGGAGGAGGAGGAGGAGGGGGGGGAGGGGGAGGAGGGGGAGGAGGGGGAGGAGGGGGAGGAGGGGGAGGGGGAGGGGGAGGGGGAGGGGGAGGGGGAGGGGGAGGGGGAGGGGGAGGGGGAGGGGGAGGGGGAGGGGGAGGGGGAGGGGGAGGGGGAGGGGGAGGGGGAGGGGGAGGGGCAACATGTGGTGGTCTTGGTAGCTCTGGCAGCGGTGGTGGTGCGTTCGGTGGGGGGGGGGCAGGTGGAGCGGCAGGGGGTTCGAGAGCGGGAGGAGGGGGGGTGGTGGTGAGTCGGGGGGTGGTGGGGCCGCGGAGGATGCGCATGGAGCACTCGCACTCCCCGGATTTCGACTTCAACCTCCGAACGGGTGCATCTGCCTTGAACAGCAGCGAACCCGATGCTGCTGCTGCTGGTGGGAATGTGAAACACGGGCGGACATCGAGTGGGGTTGCAGCAGGAGGAGGGGGGGGAGGCGGGGGACTAGCGGAGCGGTCGACCGGAGCAGGGGCAGCAGGAGGCGGAGGTAGCAGTGGGGGAGGAGGAGCTGGAGGAGGAGGAGGAGGAGGAGGAGGAGCAGGAGGAGGGGGAGGAGGGGGAGGGCTGGCAGGGTTATCACGCACGTCGTCTATGGAGCTACCCCCGAGTGCCACTGCCACGGGCAGGCGCAAGGGCCTGTCAGGAGGCGGATCCCTCACTCCCCTGCCTCAGCAGCGTTACCGTGCCGGTGGCGGCTCCCCTCTGGAATTCCCTGACCTTGACATTAGGCGCATCAGCCCCCAGGGCCTCCCCCGCCCCTCCTCTCACTCCTCGCACGTTTCCTCTAATGCTATTGCTGCTGCTGCTGCTGGCGGTGGCGGTGGTGGTGGCGGTGGCGGTGATGGTGGGTTAGGGTCCAGGGATTCGGATAATTATGGGTTTGCTCCTACTGGTAATGGTGGGAATGGTGGAGGGGAAGGGTTTTGGGCTGGAGCAGGAGGAGGAGGGGGAGCAGGAGTGGGAGGGGGAGGGTTGGGTTTGCTGCGCAGTTCCAGTGATGGGCATGCGCTGAGCCACGGTCTGGTAACAGAGGCATCAGCAGCAGGCACGGCTTTCTATGACGATTTCTCCCAGTACTCTGGTGAAGGAGCAGGTGGGTGCGGTGCTGTGTGGTGTGGTGTGGTGCGCAGCGGTGCGGTGCAGTGCGGTGGGTGTGGTGTCATGCGGTGTGGTGCTGTGCAGTGCGTTGTGTTGTGGTGTGGTTTGGTGTGTTGTGTTGTGGTGTAACAACCACACGTGATTCTAAGTTTGCCTTGCCATGCCTATCGTCATTTCTCTTCCAACTGTCCAAAATATTCCTCCACTCCTCTCACCTTTTCTCCGTTTCCCTCACTTCCTGCCCCCATACCATTCTCCCCTCTCCCAATTTCCCTTATCCTCCTTCTCCCTCCTCCCTCTCACCCACCTTCCGCATCATCATAAAAATCATCACCATCAACGTCGGCAGCAGCAGCAGCAGCAGAAGGGCCGGCAGACATGAGTGCAGTGAGTCCGCTGCCCCCTCTCCCCGGCACGCGCTCTGGAGCCATGCCGCGGCGCCGCAGGAACTTTCCCGACGACGACGCGCGCGCACCGGGCAGTGACGAGGAGAACCCGTCCTGTGGTGCTGCCGGCAATGGTGGCGGTGGCGGTGGGGGTGGCGGTGGGGGTGGGGGTGGGGCTGGGGGTGGGGCTGGGGGTGGGGGTGGGGGTGGGGGTGGGGGTGGGGGTGGTGCGGGTGGGGTTGGTGGTTACGGCATGAGGAGGAGCGGGTCGGTGGGAGGCACGCCGCAGTCGTTTTTCCGCAGAGGCAACTCATCAGATGCTCTCGTGCAGATTGGTAAAAGCAGCAGCGGTGGTGGTGGTGGTGGTGGAGGTGCCAGTGGTGGAAGCGGCATGTCGCAGCAGCACTACCAGCAACAGCAACAGCAGCAGCAGCAGGGTCTGCAGACATCTTTCGGCGCGGGCAGCAGCGGCGGCGGCGTTGGTGGTGGTGGCGGTGGCAGTGGAGGAGGATATGGGGGCAGCGGTGGTGGGTTGGGAGCTCTATCCCGCACGCGGTCTATCGACACAGCACTTCTGGCCTCACAGAACCATGCGCATGCGAGGGGAGCAGGGTCCTTAGAGCGAGGAGGTGGCATGATGGGCAGCGGTGGGGGCATGGGTGGAGCGCGGGGAGTGGGAGGTGGTGGTGGGACCAGCGGGGTGCGGGCAGGGTAGAGATTTGGGAGGGAGGAGAGGGACAGAGGAAGGAGGCAGGGAGAGAGAGTTGGGAGGTGGGAAGATCTGGTAAGAGGGACGAGATGTTGAGTGGAAGAGACGGGGGGCAGTCGAGGTTTGAGTAGAGTGCGGGGAGAAGAAGGGGAGCGGGGGGGCGGTCAGGGGGAGTCAGAGTGAGCTGATTAGGGTAGTGTTGCGACAGTGGGCAGATGGGCAGATGGGAAGGAATGTGCAATCCAGGAGAGGTGCAAGGGAGTTTGTCCAAGAAAAAGTGGTGGAGGGGAAGTGGTTCAGGGGAGTGGTGTGCGGTGGATGCGTAAGTGAGCTCAATAAGGAGGAGAATGACGGAGGAGATGCGTGGAGTGGTTCTGTGCGGCTGTGATATCGAGTCCCATGTGGCAGGGCAAGGGCGAGTGTGGGGTTTTTTTCTTAGGCGCCTGTCTGAGGCACCTAGAAATTTGTCAATTGAGGCGCCAAAATTAAAGCAAGTGTGTGCCTCACATGGAATATTAATGGCGGCATTTTACAAGTAACTTAACTGACAGCAAAAACGGGGTGCAAGGTTGGTGCAGCAGCAGTGGCAGTTGCAGCAGCAGCTGAGCAGCAGCAGCAGCAGAATTGACTTGTTATGAAGCATGGCCGTATTTGTTTTCCTGCTAATTTCTGGCCTGGCTGGCTGGCAACATTTTTCAACTTGACTTCTGAAAGACCAGGGAAACTGAGTTAAACATGCAGCATGTTCCGAATCTACTCATACATTTGCTTTCAGCAACGTTGCTACAGTTTTCTGAAATGAGGTTAACGGATTAGGCTGAGATACGGTCGATGAATTATTCTGCACATGAACAAATGTCATACCGTGCGTGTGCGAGCCAATTCTGCTACCGTGATAAGCTGTGCCTGAAACCCCATATATCCACGGTACAAATACAGTACAGGGTTGAGTCCCTCTGTCAAATGTAATTCTATGCTTGTAGGCTACAGTGAGTAGCACAATAGGGAGTACAGTTGTTAGGGTTGCTTATTTGTACTTCCACACTTCCTAGTTTGACCATTCCGTTGCATTCCTATTCTAAGATGGTATCACGAGTAGGTTAGATCCTCGTTCGGTCTTAGCTAGCCTCCGCGCCCTACGCGCCCTCCGTGCTCTCGCGCCCTCCGCGCCCTCCGCGCCCTCCGCGCGCCTAGCCCGCGCCCTCCCGCGCTGTCAAGCCCGTCGCGCGCCCTCCTTAGACCACCGCGCGCCCTCTCCCACCGTTACGCGCCCTCCTAAACCGTCGCGCGCCTCCTTCGACCGTCGCGCGCCCTCCTTAGACCGTCGTGCGCCCTCCTTAGACCGTCGCGTGCCCTTCCCTCCGCCTGTCGCGCGCCCTCCTCCGTAAATCTTCCTGCACACCTGCGTGCACTTACCGCACACCTGCGTGCGCTCACCGCACACCTGCGTCCGTGCACTTCCAGCACACCTGCGTGCACTTACCGCACACCTGCGTGCGCTCACCGCACACCTGCGTGCGTGCACTTACCGCACACCTGCGTGCCTTTACCGCCCACCTGCGTGCACTTACCGCATCCCTTTGTGCGCTTACTGCATCTCTCTCCCCTTCACCTGTGCCCTGGTCCCACGCCATTCCTACTGCACTTGACTCCCGGCTCAGCGGCTGGCAGCCGCTCTTCCCTCCGGTAACGCCACCTAGGTTCGGTTAGAGCCCCGCCCCACGACTATTTTCTCGCCGACTGTCTCTCGTCGGTTTCCCCGCTGGCGTCCCTAGCCCTCCGTAGTTTTCCTCCTCGTTCTTAGCTCCGCCTCCGCCGTGCTCCAGTCACCACTAGCATGGGCTCCGCTATGGAGGCCCGTCGCCTCCGTTTCGATGCTGAGGGACGCCCGATCAAGTTCGGTACCTGGCAGCGCCAGACCATACGTTTTCTCACCAGCCAGCGACAGGACGGCGCCACTCTGTGGGCTCACGCGTCTGGTGCCCTACAGGCCCCCCCGTCCCCCGCCGCCCTGCCGACCACCCCGGAGCCGACTCCTACGGCCCAGGCGGAGTACGACCGTCGGGTCCTGGCCAGGGACGTGTGGCTCTCGCGTGACGCTGCCGCCGCTCTCACACTGTCGGAGCTTCTCCCCCCGACTGAGGCCGCCCACTTTGACCAGGTGGAGACAGCCCAGGGGGTGTGGGATGCTATTGTTGCCCGCTACTCCACCCCCTCCTCTGCCTCCCTCAGTCGCCTCCTCATGCCGTTTGTGTTTCCCGACCTAGGCTCGTTTGCGACTGTTTCCGACCTAGTGACTCACCTCCGCTCGCTTGACGCCGGTTTCCGTGCTGCCTGTACCGACGCACAGATCCTTGTTGCTCCCCCCCCCATGTGGCTCACTGTGCACTGGTTAGTCACCCGCCTCCCTGACCGCCTTGCCACTGCCCGCGACGCGCTTCTTCAAAAGCACCCCACTGAGCTCACTATAGACCTCCTTCAGACTGCTCTCGGGACCATCGAGAGCAGCCTCCTCGCCGTTGCCTCCGCCACTGATGCGGTGCCCCCCCGTCTCTTTGCGGGGTGTGCCGCCCCTCAGCTTCCCACTTTCACCTCTACCCGCGCTTCTGCTGCTGTGTCGGTCTCTGAGGACACCGCTGCCGTTTCTGCCGCAGACTGGCAGAAACGGGGCAAGAGTGGCAAGAAGGGCGGGAAGGGGGGAGGTGGGGGCGGTGGAGGTGGCGGTGGAGGTGGCGGTGGAGGTGGGAGCGGCGGTGGTGGCGGAGGCGGCGGCGGCGGCGGCGGTGGTGCGCCAGGGGGAGGGGGCCTTGGAGGAGGTGCAGGACAGACAGGCCCACCCACAGGTGGTGGCCCGACCGGTGGGGGCGTTGCCCCCCAGCAGCAGCAGCCACAGCAGCACCAGCCACAGCAGGGACAGCAGCAGCAGGGACAGCAGCAGCAGCAGGCACCGCAGCAGTTCCAGCAGTGGGGGCCCCCGCTGCAGTGGGGTCCGCAGCAGCACTGGGGTCCCCCGCCGCAGTGGGGTCCGGGAGGCCCTTGGAGCACCGGCCGCAGCAGCAGCTCTTCCAGCTGGGCCCCTCGCCCCCCTTGCCGTGACGCTGGCCCCTGCACCCACTGGTGCCTCACCGGGCCGGGCAGCCCCTGTCTCTGTGGTCGCGACGACCACTCTGCCGCGCGGTGCTTCCGCCGCCTCGACGACCTCTACCGGGCTCGTTGGGGCCCTCTGGCGGTCACGCCTCGCTGGTCTCGTCTGTTAGCCCGTAAGATTGATGTCTTTGATCTGTCCATGGACGATGCGCGTCAGCATGCTTCGTATGTTGATGTTGACTTTAGTGCTGATGGGTCTGTGTGCTCGCGTGTTCGTAGGTTAGCCTGCTTGCCTCCTGCTAGTGTAGCCTTGTGCCTGTCTAGCTTAGGTGCTTGTGTTGCTGCTCTAGGTGCTTGTGTAGCGACTGGGTCAGGTGACCCTCCGGCTGAGGCCTCTCTGTCGTTCACGCTGGACTCGGGCGCGTCTCAGTGCTTCTTCCGCGACCACACGACCCTTACGCCACTCCTCACCCCTGTGTCGGTGGCTCTGGCTGATCCTACCTCTGGACCAGCCGTTGTGCGTAGCTCCACCACCCTCCCGTGCCCTGTGGTCCCCTCTGGTGTCCTGCGCGGCCTCCACATCCCCTCGTTCACTCGGAACTTGGTGGGTGTTGGATACCTCCAGGACAGGGGGATCACGGTTACCTTCGTGGGGGGTGGGCGGACTGCAGTCTGTACTGACGCTACCACAGGTGCTGTTCTGGCCACTTTCACCAGGGAGCCCCGCTCCGGTCTCTACGTTCTCCACACCGAGCGCTCCCCGGTCGCGTCCTCCCCTCAGGTCGTTGCGTCCCCTCCGGCCCAGGTCCCCAGTCCAGTTGCTGTGTCTAGCCAGGTAGTCGTGTCCAGTCCGGTCGCTGTGTCCAGTCCAGTCGCTGCGTCTTGCTCTTGTCGCTCTCTCGCCCACCGCATAGTCCTGTGGCACCACCGCCTTGGCCACCCATCGATCCCTCGCCTTCGTGGCATGCTCAGTCAGGGACTTGTCACAGGTCTCCCACGCACCTTCCCGTCGCTCCCTCCCTCGCTTGCCCCTCCTTGCTCTCCGTGCGTCGCCGGTCGCTTACGCGCCACTCCCCACTCCTCCTCCCTTCGTCCGGCCACCGCTCCCTTCGAGACTCTCCACTTGGACGTCTGGGGCCCTGCCCCGACGCAGGGGTCTGGGAGAGAGCGTTACTTTCTGGTGGTCGTCGACGACTACTCCAGGTACACCACAGTGTTCCCTCTTGCGAAGAAGTCCGAGGTGACTGCTACGCTGATTAGGTGGCTTCTAGCCACTGAGGGCACTCGTGGTCGTTGAGTCAGTTGTCTTCACTCCGACCGTGGGGGCGAGTTTCGCTCCGGCATTCTCGGCGGATTCTGCGGCGAACAGGGCATCACCCAGTCCTGGACGCTGCCAGAGTCCCCACAGCAGAATGGGGTTGCTGAGCGCCGCATAGGCTTGGTCATGGACATCGCCTGCACGTCCATGATCCATGCCCGTGCGCCCCATTTTCTGTGGCCTCACGCGGTTCGCTACGCCGCACACCAGCTGAACCTCCAGCCACGTGTCTCGCGGCCCGAGGCTTCACCGACCAGTCTTTGGACTGGTTCCCCTGGTGTTGGGTCGGCCTTTCGAGTCTGGGGCTGCCTTGCACTTGTTCGCGACACCTCTGCGGACATGCTCTCGGCACGCGCCGTCCCCTGTCTCTTCCTTGGTTTCCCAGTGGACTCTGCCGACTGGTCCTTTTACCACCCGCCCCTCCACCAGTTCCTAGACTCCCGTGACGTCCGGTTTGACGAGTCTGTGTCCTACTACACCCGGTACCCCTGTCGAGGTCTCCCGGTACCCCCTCCCCCCCTGTTCCTAGCACCCTCTCCTCCTCCTGCTCCTGCTCCTCCGGTACCCCCGCCCCCCCCTGGTCCTGCCCCGTCTGGTGTGTCCCACGCTACCCCTCTACCCTCGGTCGCGCGTCAGGTAGCGTCTCCCTCCCCGCAGTCCTCCTCACAGTCCCCTCAGCAGCCTTCGGCACTTCCGCGACAGGTTACTGTGGACTCGGTTGGTGTTGGAGCTGGAGGTGCAGCCGCTGGCGGTGCTCGGTCTGGGGGTGCTCGGTCGCGGGGTGCTGGAGCTGGAGGTGCTGGCGCAGGTGGCGCTGGCTCTGGGGGTGCTGGAGCTGGAGGTGCTGGCACTGGAGGTGCTAGTTCTGGGGGTGCTGGAGTTGGTGGTGTTGGCACTGGCGGTGCTAGTTCTGGGGGTGCTGGAGTTGGAGGTCCTGGCACTGGAGGTGCTGGTTCTGGGGGTGCTGAGTCTGAGGAGACTGACGCTGGAGACCCTGGTTCTGCGGAGTCCACTCCGCCTCCCCACCGCCACGACACGCGTCTCCAGGCTGCCCGTCGGCGGGAGCGTGAGGAGCAGGAGCGGTTGGAGAGGGAGCGGCAGGAGCTGCGGGTGCTGGACCTTCTGGAGCAGCAGCAGCAGCAGCAGCAGCAGCAGCAGCAGCAGCAGCAGCAGCAGCAGCAGCAGCAGCAGCAGCAGCAGCCGCAGCCGCAGCCGCAGCCGCAGCAGCAGCAGCCGCAGCCGCAGCCGCAGCCGCAGCAGCAGTAGCCGCAGCCGCCGCTGCAGCAGCAGCAGCCGCAGCCGCCACCGCAGCTTCCTCTGGAGCGGCAGTTGTTCCCACCTGTGAGTGGCCTGCGGGCCCTTGGCCTTTCCTCCTCTCCTCCTGTCCGCTCCCAGTCTCCTCCTGTGCTTGTTCCTCCCTTGCCTCCTCCTGACGACCGTCCGGCGGTCTGGTCTTCTCCTCCTCCTCGGTCTCCTCCTCACTCTGTCCGTCACGACTTGATCACTCGTTGTCCTCCGCGTGCTCGTCACTCGTCCCCTGTTACTGACCTCCACACTGCCCTCCTTTGTTCGTCCCGTCGTCGTTCTCCTTCTCTTGTGTCCGTTCTCCCGTCTCCTCCTCCGTCCTCTCTCCCAGCCCTCCCCACTCCTATAACTGACTACTACCGCACTATTCGTCCTGTTGCCGCACGTGTCCTCGCCACTCTTGTCACTGACTCTCGTTTCCCTCCGTCGTCTGCCTCGGCTCTTACTGCCGCTGTCGCTGAGTTTGCTGCCGCCAGCCGCCTTGACTATGCCACCCGGGTGGTGCCAGCTCCTCCCTACCGTCCTCTGTTCGTCGGGGGTGGGTTTGCCCTTGGCTGTGACGTCCTAGAGGACAGAGAGTCTGAGCTGGAGTACTGGGCAGCCGCTTCTCCCTCTGTGTGTGCCATGCTGCTCTCCCCTGAGGGAGACCCCGACGCCCTTGACATACCGACTCCTCGCACTTACCGCGAGGCAGTGTCAGGGGCGTGGGCCTCTCAGTGGAAAGCGGCTATGGACTCAGAGTTGGCGTCTTGGAGATCCACAGGCACCTACGTCGACGCAGTTCCCCCTCCCAGGGCGAACGTAGTCGATGGCATGTGGCTCTTCAAGGTGAAGCGGCCGCCTGGAGCACCGCCGGTGTTCAAGGCGCGCTACGTGGCTAGGGGCTTCAGTCAGCGTGAGGGAGTTGACTTCTTCCAGACCTTCGCCCCGACCCCGAAGATGACTACTCTTCGGGTGTTACTCCACATAGCAGCGCTGCGAGACTACGAGCTGCACTCCCTCGACTTCTCCACTGCGTTCCTCCAGGGCCGACTGCACGAGGAGATCTGGCTGCGCCGTCCTCCTGGCTTCACTGACACCTTCCCACCTGGGACCCAATGGAGCCTGAGGCGACCAGTCTACGGTCTCCGCCAGTCGCCCCGTGAGTGGCACGACACTCTTCGCTCCACGCTTCGTGACCTTGGGTTCAGCCCGTCCTCCGCCGACCCGTCGCTGTTTGTTCGAGCGGGTTCTACTCCGTTCTTTATCCTTGTCTACGTCGACGACTTGGTGTTTGCTACAGCTGACAGGGCAGCCCTGGCTCAGGTGAAGTCCGAACTGCAGAAGAGACACAAGTGTACTGACCTGGGTGAGCTGCAGCGCTACCTTGGCCTGCACATCACCCGGGACGGAGCCGCTCGCACCATCACACTGACGCAGTCACACATGGTGCAGCAGGTCCTTCGGCGTTTCGACTTGCAGTTCTCCACCACACAGCCCACTCCTCTTGCTGTTGACCACAGACTCACGGGCCCCTTTCCTGACGAGCCCTTCGAGTCCAGTGGACCCTACGCAGAGCTGGTGGGCTGCCTCATGTACCTGATGACTTGTACTCGACCGGACCTCGCCTTTCCCCTCAGCATCCTTTCTCGCTTTGTTGCGACTGGGAGACACCGACCTGTCCACTGGACAGCTGCTGTGAGGGTGGCGAAGTACCTGGCGACTACATCAGGCATGGGGCTTGTGCTTGGAGGGACTCAGCCAGTGGCGTTGACTGGTCACTGCGACTCTTCCTACGCTAACGACGTGGAGACTCAGCGCTCGACTCAGGGTTACTGCTTCAGTCTGGGAGCTGGTGCTGTGTCGTGGAGGTCTACACGGTCGTCGTCTGTGGCTACTTCCAGTGCAGAGGCAGAGATCTACGCTGGTGCCATGGCGGCACAGGAGCTTCGCTGGTTGACCTTCTTGCTCGCCGACCTTGGTGAGCGGCCTCGCTCTGCACTGACCTTGTACGCTGACAACAAGGCCATGATCCTCCTGTGTCGAGAGCCTCGACTGGAGAGCAGAGTGAAGCATATTGACGTGAGGTACTTCCTCCTGCGAGAGCTGCAGCGACGTGGCCAGGCACGCCTGGACTTTGTGGCCTCAGAGGCCAACACTGCAGACGTCTTCACTAAGGCCTTGGCGCTTGGTGATCACCACAGGTTCTGTGTGCAGTTGGGGCTTGTTGAGGTAGGCCCTCGGTTGCTGTAGTCTTGTTGTTTGCTCTGCTTGTTGTGCTTCCTATTTATATCCTAGTGAACTCTTGAACTGGCCTTGTGGCCGCTTGCTTGCGCTCAGAATTTGTGTGGTGTCCTTGAGATCCACCCTGAGCTTGCCTTGTTTCTTGCTTTGACTGGTCTTGTGACCGTTTGTTCACCTTGCTTGCTTTGATGCCCCTCACTTAGCCTATGGGGGTGTGTCAAATGTAATTCTATGCTTGTAGGCTACAGTGAGTAGCACAATAGGGAGTACAGTTGTTAGGGTTGCATATTTGTACTTCCACACTTCCTAGTTTGACCATTCCGTTGCATTCCTATTCTAAGACCCTCCTCCCAGCCCCTGCCACCCAAAAAACAGAAATTCATAGACAGTGCTACAAATGCAAGGCCAGAGCTGCCCCAATGGCTGCGCCAAGCAGCAGAGATGGAATCACCACAACCCTCCTAGGCAGCGGTTCAGTCAGCTCTAGAGTTCTCACCCTCCTCACCACCACCCCACTTCCTCCTGTACCATCAACACCAACCACCCCCACAGCAGCAGCAGCAGCAGCACCCCCACCAGCAGCAGACCCAGACGGAGGCGCATGGTAGGATCGGTGCTGTGAGATGCTGTGTGGTGCACTGCTACCCTGTGGTGTAGGCGTTACATCCCTGGAAGGCCGAGCTTGGAGCAACGACCAGCCAGGCCATCTCCATCCTGTGCTGGCGTTCCCTCCCTCACCACCACCACTCCCCCGCACACTACCTTCCCTCCCCAGACTCTCCACACTCCCCTGATTTCCCAGATTCCTCATATCTCCGAGTTTCTCGGGATTCTCGAGCCTCTCGACGAGCCTGGGTCGGGTAATTCCGAGCGCGGAGAAGAGCGCGAGGGAGGCGAGGGCGGAGCAGGAGGCGGTGCAGGGCACAAGGAGCAGCAGGCGCGTGTGCAGGCGGCGGAGAGCGGCGCAGCGCAGGGAGTGTGCGGCTACTGTGTGGAAGAGCGCGAGCGAGAGGCCGCGGTGGGAGGCAGAGCGGCGTTGGGCGGAGGAGAGGAGGGAGAAGGCGCGGTTGATGTCGAGTCGCGTGGGCGGGGAGCGCGGGAGGAAGCGGCGGAGGAAGGCGAGGAGCGGGTCGTCCTCGGGAATGTCTCCTGTAGGTGGTGGGGGCGGGGAGAGGTGCGAATTGGGGAGGGGAAAGGGGTGGAGATGGAGGTGGAAGGGGCGAGTGGAGGGGTCGTTTGGTTGAGAGAGGGGATGACGGGGTGGATGGATGGGTGGAGGGAAAGGAAGACGAGGTTCGACAATGGAGGGAGGGGAAGTGGAAAGGGAGAGCAGGGAAAGGGAGGGTAGAAGCATGCCATGGCATGACATGACAGGTACACGAGCAATTTCGTGTGAGATCTACCAATGGCTCATCATCTGCAAGATGAACCACAATATGCGTGCAACACTCTTCCAGTACCACCTGATACCACTCCACCACCCACCACCCTTGCTACCAACCCACGCATCACTTCTTTCCTCTCCACCGCCACCCACCCCCCTCTCCCCCGCCCCTTCCCCTCCCCTCACCGGCAGCAGCGGCGTCGCGGACGTGTTGGTGCAGCCATTGCACCGCGTCCACCAGCTGGAACCGCCACACCATACCGCCGCCGCCGCCGCCGCCGCCGCCGCCGCCGCCGCCGCCGCCGCCTCCGCTGCTGCTGCTCCCGCTGCTGCTGTTGCCACCACCCCCGCTGCCTCCTCCCCCACTCCCACCCCTCCATCCGCCCCCCCGATCCCCGCCTCCACCTTCCCCAGAAGCGCCTCCCCCAAGAGCCCCTCCGCCTCTCCCGGCAGAGCTTGTCCCCGCTCCGCTCGCGGGCGGAGGGGCTTCGCGCGCAGATGAACGATCGTCTCGAGACGCGCCGCCGCCGCCAGCGCCGCCAGCGCCGGGACCGGCGGCGCCGCCCGCGGAGTCGAAATGGTGCGGCGGGAGAGCAAAGTGGTAGTAGGTGAGGGTGGCGGCGGCGTGAAAGGCGTCGGATTCGTGCAGCAGGATGGCGTCGATGCCCGGCGCGAGGTTGAACGGATCGGACGGCAGGCGGAAGCTGCGCAGACGGGACACGATCCCGCCCATGGCGGCGCTGGAAGGGAGCGAAGAAGATACCGAGAAGAGGCGGGGTTAACGGAATTTGCCTAGAGATTACCGCGATGGTTGTGCGTGGGATTTTGTGGATCCTGTGTTTTACGCAGACTGCGCGATGCGTCGGAACGAAACTACTGGGAACGGAATGCTGCTCAGGAATGGCTGGAGCTGTGTCTGTCGGGCTTGCCCGTGTGGACGACGCCTTTCACAGGGAAGTCGCGTTTCGGGGATTCGCGCGATTCAAGAGGACCTTCGACGTCCTGACATCATCATCCTCACGACACCGTTCTGTCTGTCACATGTCGTCAACTTGCTGAAAAACGAACCGATTTGTTTTTTTCGTTCGGGGCGACCGAGTTTCGAACCAATTCTTCGAGGTTCGGAGAAGTTTGTCCCGACAAAGAACGGCTGCGGCGTAGCTATAGTTCCATGCCTATACCAGTGTTGTGTTCTACAGTACATCGCTTGTAGGGTACAGTAACTTCGAGCTGGACGACAAATCGTACGTTGCAACCAGAACTGTTTTCTTGAACTACTTGAACACGGCCTCACGTTGTTGCGAATGACCAGCCCAGCCAACAGCAACAGCCCTTCACAGCGAAAGAAATCTTCGCCTCCACACCACACTCTGAGCCATCGATTCGCGGTTACGAATTTCGCACATGTTCGTCGTCGTTGCGACGTGACCATCACGACGTGCAGAGAGCGCATGGCACAAGGTCCATTCTGAGCCCAGAAGGTCCGATTCGTCCGACCGTCAGGTGCCCCGGCACTCCGGGCGAGGCGCCGAAGATTAACCTCCTCCTTCCTTTTATGGCATAGGGAAACGCAATGGAGGATACGAAATCGCCTGACGGCTCGCCGCCTGTCATGGAGAGCGAAATTCCACCGAGTGCGGCACCCGACGCCGCCGCCGCCGCCGCCGCCGCCGCCGCTACTGCTGCTGCTGCTCCTGCCGTTCCCACTGTCACTCCTGCTGCTCCTCCTCCTGCTCCTCCAGCTGCTCCTCCTGCTGCTGCTACTTCTCCTTCCACTCCTGCTGATGTTGCAGCGACCGCAGTTCCAGGGCCAGTCAACCTCGCTGATGAGCTGGCGGTTGCGCGAGCGTGCGACACGTGGCATGCCTTGCTTGGTCGGTTGAGGAGCTTGGATAGAGATTGTGAGGATAAGGCCGTCGAAGGGCCGGCAGTAGCGGCGCCGCTGGGGGAAATATCGGCGGGGGAAACAGCACCAGGAGGAGGAGCAGTGGGAGAAGCAGTGAAGGGAGCAGCAGCTGTGGGAGCAGCAGCAACGGGTCGCAAGCAGTGCTTGCTAGAGGAGGCAGTGGACTGGTGCATTGACAGTTTATCGCGATGGGACTATAACGAGACACGAGGGGAAGAGAGTGATGATGGTGCGATGGAGGTTGACGGTGCTGGTGGCATGACCGATATGGGCGATAGGGGCAATGTGGGCGGTGGGGGCGATAAGGGCGGTGGGGGCGACGTGGCACTGGGAGGAGCGAGTGAGGATGAGGCAGTGAGGGATGGGGCTGGCGGTGAGAATGCGAATGAGAATGCGAATGCGATGGGTAGACTGCTGCGGGGTGAGGCCACTGCAGAGCTGGAGCGCTTGGTTAGTCGCTTGTTGGGGGACAGGAGGCACGGAGAGAGGGAGAGAAGGGGCGGGAGGGGGAGTGGGGAGGAAGGGGAAGGGCGTGAGGTGGGGGAAGTGGGTGCTGGTTCCGCAGTGGAGAGGGGAGGGATGGGAGGGAGGCAGTGTGCGGGTGTGGTTCGTGTGGTGGCACTGCTGGAAGAATGCCTGCTTATGGCGCACTCTCACTATGCTGCTGCTGCTGCTGCTGTTGAAGTTACCACTTCTGCTGTTGCTGCTGTTCCTGCTGCTTCTCCTGCTGCTGTTGCAGCGTCGGCTTTGGCATCTGCTGCTGGCGGTGCGGTGCAGAGCAGCAGGGGGTGCAGGCAGCTGGTTGAACGGCTGGTGTGCAGAGTGCTGGGTGTGTCTGTGTGCGCGCACACACAGAGGGAAGGACAGGGCGGGGAGACGGGAGGAGCATGCGCCTGCTTCATCCGGAATTCGGGAGCAGAGGGCGAATTACAAGAGAGGAAGGAGGGGAAGGAAGGAGTAGAGAGGAGGAGCGAGGGGAGTGAGGGTCTACAGGACGTTGGGGTGGGAATGGATTGGCTTGTCGTGCTTGTTGGTGGCAAGGCCGAGTTCACGGATGCTGTCCTGGGAGCTCTCATTCACACATGCACCTACTCTAGCACATACACACACCCCTGCGTGTCTCCTTGGGAATGCAAGGAATGCAAGGGAATGCATGCGTGTGCTGGTGCGTGTGAACGAAGGCAGCCAGGTGCGGCAGCTGCTGTGGATGGCGACACGGTGATGGAGGGAGCTGAGAGTGGACAGGAAGGGCGGCACAGAAGCCAAGAGGGACAGGAAGGGCAGGAGGAGCAGGCGGGGCCGGAGGGCCAAGAGGGGCAGGGAGGGAAGGAGGGGAAGGAGGGTGTCGGTATGGGTGTCACCGGGGGTCAGCAGTTAGTTCACGTCCTCACCATATTGGACTGCCTTGCAGCCAGGTGACTGCTGTTGCCGCTCTCCCTTCTGCTTTGGTGTGCTCTGTTGTGCTGTGCTCTGTTGTGCTGTGCTCCACTCTTCCCCTGTCTCATCTTGTCGTGTTCTCATGCACACATGTCACCATGTGCACCCATATCACAGTGTGCACCCATATCACAATGCCATATCACAATGTGCACCCATTTTCAAGCATTTGGAGAATCCCATGCGCATCTCCATCCCTCCCTTATTCCGTCCATTCTCCCCTCGCCCCCTTTTCAAACCGCAGGAACGCACCTCTCTTTTCCCTCTCCTACTCTCGCCTCGTCTCAACCTCCTTCGCCTCTCTGCTCCCTCTCCGCTCCTCGCATCCTCACCAGTGGGCAGCATTTCTTCACCTCGCAGTGGGATCAGTGTGCCTCGCCCCCAACGTCCTCCTCGCCCTCTCCTCCTCCACCCCCTCCTCTTCTCCCCCCACTTCCTCCTCCTCTCCTCCTGCCTCGTCCAACGAGTCTCGAACCACGTACCAGCTTTCGGTCTCACACAAGTTCTCAACCACACACCAATCTGCAACCACAAATGAGCACTCGTCCGCGTCTCCTCTGCAGCGCCTGCTGTCCTCCCCCCCTGCCACGCTGCTCCGCCTCTGGCGCTGCTGCTGCCATGGCGATGGCGTGGGTGTGAATGCAGGCATGGGCATAGATGGGGGCGCGGAGACGAGAGGGGCCAGGGGTGTTGGGGTGGAGGGGCAGCATAGCGGGAAGACGGATGGGTGCTGTGGGTTGCAGGACTATTTACCACCGCCTCCTTGTGTATGCATTGTAAGGCGTGCTGTGTGCGTTGGGGGAGAGGAAAGGCTGATGAGAGGGGGTGTGTTTTGGGACGTCGCATGTTTGCCTTTCGAGTGTATTCTGGTGCGCGATGCTTGCCGAGAAGCATCCTCTCTATGGTTGTCTTGGCGTCTCCTTGCTGCTAGACTTGCCTGGTTGTGTCTCTGTCCATCCTAGAATGGTGTTTCTAGAATCCATCCATCCATCCATCCATCCATCCATCCATCCATCCATCCATCCGTCCGTCCGTCCGTCCGTCCGTCCGTCCGTCCATCCATCCATCCATCCATCCATCCATCCATCCATCCATCCATCCATCCATCCATCCATCCATCCATCCATCCATCCATCCATCCATCCATCCATCCATCCATCCATCCATCCATCCATCCATCCATCCATCCATCCATCCATCCATCCATCCATCCATCCATCCATCCATCCATCATCCATCCATCCATCCATCCATCCATCCATCCATCCATCCATCCATCCATCCATCCATCCATCCATCCATCCATCCATCCATCCATCCATCCATCCATCCATCCATCCATCCGTCCTTCCGTCCTTCTGCCGTCCGTCCGTCCGTCCGTCCGTCCGTCCGTCCGTCCGTCCGTCCGTCCGTCCATCCATCCATCCATCCATCTATCCATCCATCCATCTGTGCATCAAATCCGAACCAACGTTCTCTCTTCTCCACTCTCTGCTCTTCTTCTGCTTCTCAGACAGACACAGTCACCAGCGGGGTGAAAGGTCAACAACACAGCAAGAGAAGCAGGGAAACCGGCACTGCTGATAACTGTTTCTACCACAGCAACCGCGGTCACAGCAGCAGCACCACAGCTACCAGCACCACCAGCAGCACGTGCACACTGGCTTCTTGGCTGCGATTCTTCCTTGCTGCCAGGGGCCCGGCTGCTCCCTCCCTCGCCCCCGCCCTCCTCTCTGCTCTCGTCCACCTGACCACAGAGCTGACTCGGTTAGCCATGGATGGTGCAGGTCAGGCCACCCAGCCTGGTGGAAGCACAGCAGGAGCAGGAGCAGCAGAAGAAGGGTCGGCAGCAGGCGCAGCAGCAGCAGCAGCAGGGGTGTGGGGGGAGGAGGTGGGGGCGCTGCTGGGAGATTACTGTGCTGAGCTCACTGCAGCAGTTGTCAAGTGCTGCATTGAAGGTTCGTTCGGGTTTGAATATTCGCGCTTGTGCTGTGTCCATTTTAGGGCGTGGTGTAGCCTCCATGCCATGCCATGCGGTGCCATGCGGTGCCATGCCGGGCCGTGCTTGTAATGCCATACAGTTTCTAGTCATCCTCGTCATCTCTCATCTCACCACACTCTCATCTCCATGTCTTGGATTTGATAGCCTTTCTTGCACTCACAAAATCACATCCGATGATCCGACCATGGTCCTCTCACCCACTCCCACCCCCATCTCCTCCTCTCTTTTCCCCTGCAGGCGTTTTACCTTGGTCACCCGAGCACACCGCTAGCAGCACCAGCGCCACTAACAACAGCAGCAGCAATGCCTATCCCACCACCACAAGTCTCTCCCTCTCCTGGCGCCGCTGGCATCCCTCCCTCTCCTCGCTCTCCCTCCACACTCCCCTCCTCTGCTCCCTCCTGCTCTCTCTCTCCTCCTCTGCACCTGCTGCTGACGCTGCTACTGCTCATTCACCTGCTGCTGCCGCTGCCACCGCTGCTGCTGCTGCTGTGACTAGTGACAGCATGTCAGGCCTCTGGCGGCTGCTGAAGCTGCTGCTGCTGCACTGCACGCCACCAGTCACTGCTGCCTCACTGCTGGCTCAGATGACTGTTGCAAGCAAAGGGAGAAGTATCAGCACACGTGCACACTCAGACACACGCGTAGGCACGGGTGCGGGTGGAGGTGCCGGTGTGGGTGCAGGTGCAAGCAGGAGCAGTATAGGGTTACATCTGGTGTGTGAAGTGATAGACGCACACGTGGCACTGGCAGGTAGGGAGACAAGGGGTTCCAACACCAGCAGCAGCATTGGTGGCGGTGGTAGCAGGCTGGTGTTGCTCGAGGGATGGTTGGATGCGGTTCTGAGGGGTGACGGTGAGTTGGATGGGCTGCTGCTGCTGCTGCAGCACTGGCGACGAGATACCCTGGATGGATGTGGGGAAAAGGGATGTAGGAGAAAGAGGAATGCAGGGAAGGGGCAAGGCAGGAGAGAGGAGGCAGATGAAGAGGCAGGTTGTCAGATCTGCTTTCCACGGACCTCTATTCCTCTCACAGCAGCATCAGCTGCAACGCCAGCAGCAATATCAGCAGCGGTGGTGTCAGCAGTGTGTGGGTTGCTGTGGCAGAGGTGGGGGGATTTGCAGCGAGTGGTGGAGTGCCATATGGGAGAAGGGCAAGGGTTTCTTGCTGCTGCTGCTTCTGCTGCTGCTGCCGCTGGTGGGATGCATGGGGTTAATGCAAGGCGTGTGCTTGGCAATCGTAAAGCTGCAATGTCAGGGACAGGATTGATGGAGATGACAGGAAGAATGGGTAAAATGGCGAGATTGGGTGCTCCTGGTGGTAGTACTGGTGTTCGCTTTGTTGAAGGCAATGGTGATGGCATGGTTTCTGCAGGGAGGGGAGCGCTAGCAGCACTGCAGCTGATGCATGTGGTGGTGGCGGCTGTAGTGCCGCCGTCGTTCCGATGGGTGCCAGGGGATTCAGAGCGCATGCTACAGCAAGGCCACCTGATGGCCTTACAGCGACAAGAGGAGGAGCGAGGAGGAGGAGGAGGAGGAGGAGGAGGAGGAGTGAAGAGCGAGGGAGTTGTGGGGGGGGAGGGAGGTGCAGGGTGCAACCCACGCCTTGCGCTGCTGCATGATGTGGAGGTGGCTCCTCGACTGGAGGTACGTGCGGTACATGTGCGCACATGAGGTGACTGCTGAGTGCGGTACACATGTATGCACCTCAGGTGGGCGGTGCATGTGCGCACATGAGGTGACTTCTGAGTCGATTCAATAGGTGCAGGGTGCAACCCACGCCTTTCGCTGCTGCATGATGTGGAGGTGGCTCCTCGACTCGAGGTGCGTGCGGCACATGCGCGCGTGCACATGCAATAGTACCGCCCTCGTGCCTGGATACTTGCACGCACGTTACACAAATGGCACAATCACTCGCATGACATGCAACGCACGCATCACATCATTGGATTTTCCCTCGTCCACTGCATGCCATTCCCATAAGGTCCCTATTTTTTAATCGACTAAAAAAACGCATGCCATTCCCGTAAGGTCCCTCCTCCACCACACATCCTCCCTATGACTCAATATAAAGGCGGTCTGTAATTAGACCACTGTCCAGATCAGACGTTTCGAAGGTTGTTCACCACTCCTTAATGTTGCAGATTGTTTTCAAGAATTCTAAAAAACAACCTGCAACATCATAGTTTGTCTCGAAGGTTGTTCACCACTCCTTAACGTCCCTCCACCTTCCTCATCCATCCTCCCTATTCCACTCGCAGGCCCTCCTCTCACTCCTTTTCCAACACTTCTCCACGCGCCTTCACGCCCTTCCCTCCTCTTCCTCCTCTTCCACTTCCTCCTCCTCTGCTGTTCAATCGGCCCTGCTCCGAGCACCAACAGCAGCAGCAGTAGCAGCAGCTGTGGTGGAGGAGGAGTGGGGGAGGAGGGGGGACGAGTTGCGGTGTGTGGCAGAGCTGGCAGCAGTGGTTGGGAGCATGGGTGGCACGTGCTGCCACCATTTCACTCAGGTGGGGGGGTGCTGCGGGTGGGGGTTTGATTACAATCTGAGCATACGCTTCGTGTTGCAAACTGATTCGTTAGGCACGTAAACAACCCCCCACAATACCCGGTCCCCTCTTTCCTACCCTGACCTTCCTTCTCTCCCCCCACCCATCAGTTGGTACATGAGAGCACACACTTCGTCGCCTCTCTCGCAAACGCACATGCATCCCTCCCGCTCTCCCCTGCACCACCATCGGCAAACCCCCTGCGCCGGCGCTCTCACTCTCATGGGCGAGCAGCGAGGGGCGTTCGCACTGCAGCTGGGGGGGAGGGAGTGCGCGCGGCAGGAGCAGAGCGCATGGGGAGGGCGGGAAGGAGCCTGCTGGAGGAGAACAGAGCGCTCAGTGCGTTTTGGGGGGCTTGGGGGAACGGGGGGAACTTGCGGGGTGAAAGCGACTGGGGGCTTGAGAGGCTTGGGGGAACGGGGGGCGATTGGGGGAACGGAAGTGACTGGGGGAACTTAGGGGGAACTGGGGGGGACTGGGGGGACCAGTGGGACTGGGATATGGGAGAGTCTGGGCATGGGAGTGGGGAAATATGGGCTGGCTTGTTAGGGATATGATTAACGTTGCAGGCATAGTGTAATTGGGATGGGATGCGCCTGCTGTCTTTCGAGTCGACTCAAAAGTCACTGCATGCATGGTGTCATTGGGATACACCTGCTGTCTTCGCTTGATTTCTCCTTCTCATTCTCATCGCCTTCCCTCCCTCTCTTCCTCCCTCCTTTTCTTTATCTCTACCCAGTGTCGCTTCTAGCACCAGCGCCACCAGCCCATCGCCTCTTCCCTCCCATGCTCTCTGCCACACCAACACCGCCTCCTCCCCCCGCACCGCATTGCACCCCATCCCACACCTCTCCCACATCCGGCGAGCTGCATTGGGTGGTGGAGGGCAAGCCTTCACCTTCACCCCTCCATGCCACACCTGCCGTACTTGCTCCCACTCCTGCGCAACGAATCAGCACTGCCACTGCTGCTGCGTCTCCTGCTGCTTCTATGCGCACTCCCGCTGCCACAGCACGAGTGGGGGGTGCTGCAGCCTACGCAGGGGATTCGCTTTTGCAGCACAGCCAGCAGCAGCAGCAGCGAGAGGTGATGGTGGAGCGAGTGTGTGTAGAGCTGCGAGCTGTCATTTCCCTCGCTGCCTCCACCATGGATGGTCAACGGAACACCACGGCACGAGGCAGGGGGAGCAGCAGTGCTGGTGCAGTGGAGGACAGTGGTGTTTTATCGGAGGATGCTGCCTTGGCAGCGAGTGTGGCAGAGGCGGTGGCAGCAGCGGAGGGCAGGGCGAGTGGCAGTGCGGGCATCATGTGTGCAGCACTCGCTGCCATTGCTGACTTGCCGCATGAGCTGCCCCTCACATCGCAACAGTACCTTGAGGCGAGTGTGGGTGGGGGTGGGAGGGGTGGGATTGAGTTGATAGAGAGTTGAGTTGATTCAGTGTTGTTTTCACAGGAGCGCAGGCTGCCATTGCCGACATGCCGCATGAGCTGCCCCTCACATCGCAACAGTACCTTGAGGCGAGTGGGGGGTGTGTAGAGGATGGGGGAGACGAGAAGGGAGAGCGGTTTTGAGTGGAGGAGAGAGGTGAGGAGAAGTGGCTGCCTATCTCTATCCCTATCTCATGTCCCCCTATCTCATTTATCCCCTCTTTTTTCTCCCATTGCTATCTCCTCTCGTCAAACTCCTATCTCCCCCAGGTGCTACCCAGGAAGGTGGCTGCAGCGCGCCACACACACATCCTCCAATCCTTCGCCAATAACCCCTTCTTGCTCCATGTCAGAACCCCCACTCTCTCGTCCGTTCGTTCTTTCCCCTCCCCCTACCCCTGCCCCTGCCCTCGCCCTTCCCCATTCCTTGCTTTCGCAGAATCTGCTTTGTCTATTCTAGTCCATCTCTTCTCCCCCCTCTTCTCTCCTTCACCCGTATCCCTATTCTAAATCCTGCAACGTTCTGTCCCCGCATCCCCTTCTGCTCCCCATGACTTCTTGCACAACCCACTACCTTGTCTGATTTTATCAAAGTTTTCATTATTTTTTTTCAACACTCCATTGCTGCTTCTCACCTCGCCAACTGTGCTTCTCTCCCCCCTCTGTCCCTTTCCGTATCCCCCATTTTTTCAATGCACCCTCGGTTCTCAAACACCTCTCTGCATCCATCCACCCACCCATCTCACCTCCATCTCCCCACTCCCCCCGTCACTCTCCTCATACCCGTGCCACAGCTCCTGGCAGCAGCAGCAGAGGCGCTACAGCAGCAGGCGCGCATGGTGGCATGGGTGCATGCGAGTGTGGGGGAGGAGGTGGTGCGAGCGCTGCTAGCAGATGCCATTAGTCACGCCACCGTTGCCGCCAACAATGCCTCTTCTCCCCTCACCATGCCTGCAAGGGTAAGGAGACTTGCGGTAAGGCGTTTGTGAGTGTTTGGTGAGGAGGGGTGCAACTTGCACTGCTAGCAGATGCCATTAGTCACGCCACCGTTGCCGCCAACAATGCCTCTTCTCCCCTCACCATGCCTGCAAGGGTAGGTCCGGTATTCTTTGTCACCATGATTTCAAAACTAATTGGTACGAAAATTCTGAGTCGACTCCAGAGTTTCTTTGGAGAACCAGAGGCGAGAGAGTTGGAAAGACGCGAATGGGAGACGCCATGATCTCACCAGGCATCTTGAAGGAGCATTGAAGCATCGGATAACATGGCCGTAGCATCCAATACCCTTCCATCCACCTACCCCTCCCATCCCCCACAATCCCCCTGGCCCTGGCTACTCATCCACCTCCCATCCACCATCCTCTCCTGAGCGTCATTCCCCTTCCTTTTGCCTCCATTTTCTCCCCATCCCCCATCCTCCCGTCTCCAATCCATTGCATTGCACCCCCCACAGGTCCGAACCCCGGCACCAGCGTCCCTTCCGTCCCGCCCGTCCTCCCCTGCAACACCACGAGCCACCTCCACCTCCACCACAACCACAACCGCCACCACCGGCACCACCACCGCCTCCAGCATCCCCTCACAACCTCCCTTCTCGAATCCCCCTTCCTCAGCCTCCTCCTCTCCGCCCTGCTCACCCCCCTGGCTGCACCGCCTACCTGCCCTCTCCTCCTACATGCACGCTGCTGCATGGCTGCCCACCCCTCTCGCCTGTGCAGCCTCTCTCGCACACCTGCTGTCCCCCCGCGACCTTGCTGATCTGCTGCTGCTTCTTTGGCATTGCATGGATTATGCTATTGCTGCTGGGCCCCTCTTTGCCTTCTCGCCCTGGAAAACAGCCGCCGCTGGCTCTGCTGCTGCTCCTCCTCCTCCTCTTGCACCTACCGTTGCTGCTGCTGCCGGGTCTGATGGTGCTACAGCAGGAAAATTTGGTGCTCCGAAACTAATTCTCCACCCGCCTTCCAAAGCTGGCGTAGGCGGCAGTGCTGCTCCCGTCACTCAAGACACTACTGCTTCCAATTCAACTGCACCTGCTGCTAGTGCTCTCCTTCAGGCCTTGTTGCAGCAGCAGCAGAAACAACAACCTCAGGAGGTCAGTGTCTGTTTCACACGTCTCAAGAGACGAGAGGTTAGTGTCTGTTGATTGTGCTGTTACTTTGTGTTCTGTCGTCTGCTAAGCTTCGTGTCTGGTGTGTGTGTTTGCTTCATGTTCTGTCTGCTGTGTCGTGTATGTTGTGTGCACCACTGCCACTACCTTTCCTCTTCCACGTTGCATCACTGCAACATATCGCCCACTCTTCACCAACCGTCCCTTTCACACCTCAATCACATGCCCTCCCTTCTCTCTCACTGCTACACTCTTCTTAGCCCTTGCTCGCCCTTCCCCTCGCTTCCCCTCGCTTCCCCTTCCTTCCCCTCCCTTCTCCTCCATTCCTACATCACTCCCCACTCAACTCTTCCCCCAACAACCCCCCCTTCCTCTTCCCTCTTGTCCGTGCCCACCATGCCCACCATGTACACCTCCAGGCAGCAGCAGGGAGGGCAGTGCCCCCATGGAGGGGAGTGCTGCTCACACTGGTGCGCCGCAACATTGCCACGCTAGGGCCCTTCGCCAGGCAGTTGCTACTGGACGAGGGTTGAACAACCGGAGTGTTTTTGTGAGAAGCTAAGGATTTTAAGCGCCTCAAGAATCGCTGTAACATTGCCATACTAGGGCCGCTTTACCAGGCAGCTGCTGCTGGATGGACGAGGTATAAAGACTACGCGATGATATTATCTTTCAGGAGATTCAAATATCGCTACAAGGTAGGTGGTGGTGGTGGTTTGAAAGGAGTTGTAACGTTTTCCAGCTTATTACCATCTTTTCTAGGAGCTTACAAAATTCAAACTGACTTGGATTAATGATGATACGCATGGTTTCATGATGTGCTTTGTTCTTGTAATCATAACACCTCCTAAGAACAATCAATATATAACTACAGAACAATGGTTCTTTATAGTGGTAACTTAAAATGCTGGACGTCCATAGCCTGGGTAGGAAGAAACCCCCATACCTCCAGGTCCCCCACGCCCGGAATTGGGTGGGGGTCTGATGCTCACACGAGCATCATCCAACACATTAAGGGAGGGTGCAAGCAGACGCGTGTAGCGGTCAAAGTAGAGAAGCTGCTTCAGCAGCAGCCCAAACTCCCGCGGGAAGCGCAGGCCGTACCCCTCACTCACTCTCACCTACAAGGGCCGGGGGGAAGAGGAGGAGGGGGGAGGGGGAGGGTGGGTGGGAGGTGGAGGGAAAGAGGGGAGGGATGCGGAGTGGGTAAGGGAGAAATGAGAGGCCAGGGCAGATGGGCGAGGGCCGGAGGGGGATTCAATAAGATACGAGGTCACAATGGGGGCACATGGGGCACATGGGGCTTAAAGGTCTAGTATCAAGCAGAAAAGAGCCTATGCTATGGAATGCTCAGTTGCTCAATTGCTCGCATGGCTTCTTACGAGTTGCAGCAGCAGGATGTTGAGATGCTGCTCGTCCACAGCCACCACTGCAGACACTGACTGTCATTGGTGAGAATCACATAAAAGTACCTCCAACATCGTAGTAACTTACGAGTTGCAGCAGCAGCGTGTTGATCTGTTGCTCATCCACAGCCACCGCTGCAGACACGGTCGCCGTGGCACCGCCTCCTCCTCCTCCTACTCCCCCCGGCATGCCTCCTCCTCCTCGCCCCATCCCCGGCTGCTGCTGCTGCTGCTGCTGCGTGGCTGTGACTATCACTTGCGGGTCCAGGTCCTCCACGGCCTCGAACAGCTGCCGCAGGTCGTTGGCAAAGGCGCGCGTGTCGATGGTGCGGCCGTCAGCAGTGGCGCCCATGCCAATGAGCGCCGTGGCCATGGTGGTGTAGTCGCCTGAGCCTATGGACGCGAGAAAAGCTGCGAGTGACGCCCACGTGTCTGGGGATACCCGCCCCACGATGCCTGCAGGCGGGGGGAGAGGCGGTGGGAGAGAGACGTGGAGAGGCGGAGAGGCAGAGTGGCATGGGAGGGAGGGTGGAGGCAGAAGGGTATGAGTGAGAGGAGTGCGTGGAAGGGAGGGTGTGTGCGGCCGTCAGCAGTGGCGCCCATGCCGATGAGCGCCGTGGCCATGGTGGTGTAGTCGCCTGAGCCTATGGACGCGAGGAAAGCTGCGAGTGACGCCCACGTGTCTGGGGATACCCGCCCCACGATGCCTGCAGGCGGGGGGAGAGGCGGGGGGAGAGGCGGTGGGAGAGAGACGTGGAGAGGCGGAGAGGCAGAGTGACATGGAAGGGAGGGTGGAGGCAGAAGGGTATGAGTGAGAGGCAGAAGGGTATGAGTGAGGCAGAAGGGTATTGACGCCCACGTGTCTGGGGATACCCTCCCCACGATGCCTGTGAGGGAGGGGCAGAGAGAGAAAGGGGGTGGGAGAGAGGCGGTGGGGAGGAAGAGAGGCGGAGTAGCATGTAAAGGCAGAGACAGAGTAGCAGGGGAGAGGCAGAGGAGAGAGAGAGACAGACATGCGAAGGATGCCCGGCCATTTCCCACGATGTGTGCACATGGGGTGATACGAGAGACATGGACAGGTGGGAGGCGTGGTCGTGACATGTGTGCATGCGTGCGTGTGTCTGTGTGTTGCAGTGCAGACTTGTTCATTGCATGGGCGGGGCGTGAGCAGGACGAGCATGGAGCAGGGAGAGATAAGGATTGTGGGCGAGGCAATGGTCGAGGCAATGGTCGAGGCAATGGGCGAGGCAGTGGTCGAGGCAACGGTCGAGGCAACGCACCAAAGTCAATGAAGGCAACTCGGCCGTCATTGAGCACGAGGAGGTTGCCTGCATGCACGTCCGCATGGAAAGTGTCACATGCGAACAGACTGCCGAACCTGCCATGCACTCGCACAGGGCACGGGGAGAGAAAGGGAGAGGGGGTGGGCAAGGAGATAGACGCACGTTCACAACTCCAGCATGGCATGAAAGCTTCACAGGATAAATGCTTCGGTACAAAACAGCACTATCAAGCCCACTACACAATCCACCCACCACACACACACACCCACACCTACCCACACACCACCCACCCACCCTCCCTTCCCACCCACCACACATTGAGTGCAGCAATGAGCGTGGCTTCAGGGTTCGGCACAATGGCCTTGAGCCATCCAAATCCGTGAGCGGCACACCTCTCACTCGCTCCAATGGTGAGCACGCATGTGGAGGACGCGTGTGCGTACACACACACCACACACACCAACCACCCACCAACACAGACACCACCCACACCACCGTACAGCTCTTGCCCACCCACCCATCCTTCCTGCCTTACTTCCCACCCTCCCACCCTTCCCTCCCACCTACCACACGTCCAGCACCGCAATAAGAGTCCGCGTGTGATGGGTCGATTAGCCGACTCAAAAAGCGACTTACTTCCCTCCCTCCCTCCCTCCCTTCCCTCCCACCTACCACACGTTGAGCGCGGCAATAAGAGTCGCCTCAGGATTTGGCACAATCCCCTTGAGCGCATCCAGGTCCATGAGCGGCACGCCCCTCACACCACCCACCCTCCCTTCCCTCCCACCTACCACACGTTCAGCGCCGCAATAAGAGTCGCCTCAGGATTCGGCACGATCCCCTTGAGCGCATCCAGGTCCGTCAGCGGCACGCCCCGCACGCGCTCCATCGTAAGCACGCGAGTGGAGGACGCATTTGCGTACACACGCGGGCACGTGGCGAGCGCACGCAGCGAGGGCGAGGAGTCAAGGTAGGCGGAGAAGGCGGCGAGGTTGCGCGCCTCCTTGCCCATGTCCACCTCCTCCATCATGGACGTGCGGATGTCCTGCACTATGCCCACCTGGTGGTGATAAGAATGGGGGAAGGAGGGGGAAAAGCGAGGGGAGGAGCATTAGGATTAACCACCTCCTCCATCATGGACGTGCGTATGTCCTGCACTAAGCCCACCTGGTGTGGAGGGGGGGGGGGCCAGGGAGGGGAGGGAAGGAAGGGGAAGTGAGGGGATTGCATGAGTGGGGGGAGAAGAGACGCCCATGTCCACCTCCTCCATCATGGACGTGCGGATGTCCTGCACTATGCCCACCTGGTGTGGAGGGAAAGCGTCAAGGCGTCATGTGGATGAGGATGATGGGAAAAGCGTGGGGTGCAATGCACAATTGGCAAGAAGCGGTGGACTCGAAAAGGGGACATCGAGGCGATAACCAAGAAGACACGTGCGAGGAGGAACAGGATCGTGTGGGAAGGGAGGGGAGGGGAACGGAGGGGAGGGGAGGGGAGGGGAAGGGGGGGAGTGAGAGAAAGGCAACGAGGAAGTGCTTCAGGGAAGGCAGAGACATGGAGGGGAAACATTGTGTGGGAACGAGGCAACAGACGAGGGACGGCAGTCGGGAAAGGAACGCAGACCCGGAGAGGGAGAAAAGGCACTCACAAGGGACGTGTGTTTGATGGAGGGGTTGAGGAACTCGAGCACGCGAGCACAGACGTAGACGAAGTTGAAGCCTTACTTAAGTGATCCTCCAGTTTTGAGACGTCTCAGGACTGGACAGAAAAGGCACTCACGAGGGAGGTGCGTTCGATGGAGGGGTTGAGGAACTCGAGCACTCGAGCACACACGTAGACGAAGTTGAGGTCCGTGGTGAGCGTGTCCTCCACTCCCGGCTTCACCACCTTCACCACCACCTCCGCCCCAGTGCCCTTGAGTCGCGCCGCATGCACCTGCCACAAGTGGGAGGGGAAGGGATTCAGAGAGTGGGGTCGGAGAGAGGGTTCGGAGAGAGGGGTCGGAGAGAGGGGTCGGAGAGAGGGGTCGGAGAGAGGGGTCGGAGAGAGGGGTCGGAGAGAGGGGTCGGAGAGAGGGTTCGGAGAGAGGGGTCGGAGAGAGGGGTCGGAGAGAGGGGTCGGAGAGAGGGGTCGGAGAGAGGGGTCGGAGAGAGGGGTCGGAGAGAGGGTTCGGAGAGAGGGTTCGGAGAGAGGGTTCGGAGAGAGGGTTCGGAGAGAGGGTTCGGAGAGAGGGTTCAGAGAGAGGGTTCGGAGAGAGGGTTCGGAGAGAGGCGAGTCAGAGAGTAGCGTCAGAGAGGGGAGCCAGAGGTCGGAGTCAGACAGGCTAGCAGATGCACGGATGATGAAATGGAAAGGAGAGGGGAAACGCGAGGGCGAGTGAGAAGACGAAGGAGAAGGAGAGTGAAATCAGGCTGCGAAGAGTTGAAGATATCGAACTACAGACGGGAAACATCATGCGGAGGTCCAAACAGGCCCAAACAGTTAAATACCAAGGTAGCCAGAGCAGCGGCAGTAGCTGCAACATCATCACCACCATCATCACCACCACCATCACCACCAGCAGTAGCAGCGGTGAGCCCACCTGAGCAATGGAGGCTGAAGCGAGCGGCGTGGGATCCACAAACTCATACACATCCCCCAGCGGGCGCTTCAGCTCCCTCTCGATAATCCCCTTGACCGTGGCAAACGGCACGGGCGGCGTCTTGTCGAGGCACGTCTGGAACTCGGTGACGTATTCCGGGGGGAAGAGCGAGGGCGCGGACGCTATGAACTGCCCCAGCTTTATGTACGTGGCGCCCAGGCGCTCGAATAGCCGGCGGAGTTCCGCTGGGCCTGGGAGCTGGATGGACGATGCTGGGGATGTGGATGGCGCCAGGCGCTGCTGCTGCTGCACTGCCTGGGGGGCCGGAGCAGGAGGAGGGGAGGGGAGGTTAAGGGAGGGAGGAACGGCAAGGGCAAAGGGGGAGGGAGAGATACGACGGTTGGGATAGGATGGGAAAAAGAAGGGATTGGATGGTATGAGGAGGGATGGTATGAGGAGGGATGGTATGGGCAACATGGGAGGCAGGGAGCACAGCTGCTGAAGCAAGGGTGGAAGGTGGAGAGAATGAGTACGAGAAAGAATAGGGCGGATGGCTACACTACACCTGTGGTGCTTTAACAGCCAATCAAAGCCAACAGCAGCGGCTGCATTCACCTCAAATCTCAAGACTACGACGGAGTGCGATACCTGGAGCTGCTGCAGCAGCCAGTCAGCGCCGACAGCAGCAACGGCTTGTATGATTAGGATGAGCTTTTTCTTCTTCCTTTTCCTAATCTCAAAACCAGGGCGGAGGGCAGCACCTGGAGCTGCTGCAGCAGCCAGTCGGAGCCGACAGCGGCAACGGCCTGCACGCCCTGCACGAAGCGCGTGGCGCCACGAGGGCCGGTCTTCACGGCCACGCCTACTATGTCCTCCATCAGCCGCACCAGCTGCTGCGCGCGCTCTGACGGGACGCGCGGGGAAAGGGGTTAGATGGGGGGGGGGATGGGGAACGAGGGGGGAGGGGAGAGTGGTGGGGGTTGGGCGGAACGGAGGGTTGGTGCGGAGTGGGAAGGGGGAGGTGAATTGGTCGGCGGAAAGGGGCTGCGGTGGAAAGGTGAAGCTTTGAACGGGCGCATGGCGCATCTACAAGTATACGGGCTGAGGTAAGTGGAGATGAGGGGCGCGACGGCTCACCTCGGGCAAATTCTTGTCGTTGCGCGTCGGTCATGTTGACTGCGCCATTGAAGGCGTCGAAGGGAGACGAGGCGGATGAGGAGGATGAGGAGGACGAGGAGGACGCTGAGCGGCGCGACGTTCGTGTTCCTGCACACGTCGACGCGCGCACACACGCACACACGAACGCACACGGGGTTTGTCTTCGTGATTCCGGGACGTAATCGCGTGGCCGGGCGGCAAGAGCGCCGCGCATACGCACACAGGAACACGCGCACGCCGTGTAATTGGTGACACTAGAGCTGGTGGGCATCTAGAAACTAGGCTTCGCACACATCACTGACGCACTATTCGCACCCCACCATACGCTAAGAAACCTTTCAGGACACCAGCCTAACTGCAGGCCGTTCCCCTCCACTCGTCAGTCCCCGTTCACTCCGATCCTATGCTCGCAGCGCTACGCGCTTTCATGATAGTCTGCTGGACGCGTCGTATCGGCCACAATCAGTGCAACTCCCCTTCATCTCCACGCACCGCTGGTGGAAGCTGCACGCGTGATGATGCTGCTCTCTTGTCCGCCGGACGGGTAGAGACGATTTACTCGCACGCGCGCTGGTGCGTTTCGCTGTAGAGGCGACCCGAGAATGGGAGAGGAAAGCTTGGATGCTGGAATGGTGTGACACGCACGAGATAGCGACCTGACCGCCATCGTTGTTGCGCCTGTGGATATCAATTCACACGCTCGTGGCTTGGTCAGCGGACCACGAAATCGAGAACAGATTTCGAAGGTCGAGGAGGAACACGAAACAAATAACGGAGAATGTCCTGCTGTCCTGCAATAGAATGGTTGAACGGCTGCCCAAAGCGCAATTGTGATTTCCAGCTTTTGGGCCAAACTCCATTACCAAGGTACTGCCCTGGTGCGGGAGAAGATCATACAGGGGCCGAACAGTGCCAGGAAGGTGTTCGAACAAGGGCCGAGAGGCCCGGAACTAACCAAACCACTGCTTTAAAAGTTATTTGCATAATAGTATCTTTTAATGAACGTATGTTTGTTAACAGTTTGCATTTTCGCTCGCGCGTCATTTTACATGGAAATGTTTACTGATTCATCACCTTCCACCCAATAGCGTCGTTTAGCAAGCCAGAAACTCTTAGGGCAGCCAAAAAAACTAAAACTCCAAGGAGAACCTGGATGCATTTTCGGGATGGATCAACCCTAAAAACGGGACCTCAGTTGTGTTTAGGGTTGATGCCTCCCTAGTCGCATCCATTTCCGAATGGGTAATATTTTTTTTTCTGCGCGTTTCCGATCAGGGAGTGATATTTATCACCCATAATGAATTTGTTTTTGGACTCACAAATTAACACAGCAATATTTACTTCCAGAAGAACGCGATGTGCGCGTAGTAGTAGACGGCAGTCGTAACCATTTTTTCAATAAGTTTGACACAAAGTTTGGTGCTGGTAGCTTTTCTCTTTTAGTTACGGCTCGGCTTGTTCGCCTAGCCTCTTGGGCAGCTCGGTGTCGAAAATCCTACGGTCGAGATTTTTTGGCCCTACTTTGGTCATCCCTCTGGCACTCTTCGGCCCCAGTTTGATCATTTCCCCCTTGGTGCTGCGCAAGTCCAATTGTGTCCAGGGGAACAAAGCGCGCCAATTTCAAGTGAGGAAAGCCTCCTCTTCCCCCACTGGCCTCGCCAAATGGCAGGTTCCTGATTTCTGTTTCGTCCAAGTGTCCTTGCCGTTGGCCTCCACGCTGAGTGGGGCTTCAGCGAATCATGAAGCAGCACGAAGTCGGTGTGTCAAAAGCTCCTCGGGTGCAGGACTCGCACGCAAGTTCCTCTCGTCGTACCCCTTTGTGATGCATTGTTACTAGAGTCCTAGAAATATTTCATGGTGTAAGCGTGTCATAGGTACGTATATTAGAATATTTGCACATTTCTAAAAGGATTTCGGACTTATAAAAATACTTGAAGATAAAATTGACATTATAAAGTTAAATTAAAATTATACTAAGTTAAGGTGGGCCAAGTGCAACTAGTATGGCATAACGAGACTCATAACCAAAAGCAAATGTGCGTACGTTTTGATGTTTTTATTCACACAGACCGAGTCATGCTTTCGAAGCAACTCTAAGCGGACTTTGTGGAAAGGCGTTAGACAATGCAGAAATCGCGATAACCACACGTAACCGCTTCGCAGTCGTTCGTCAGCAAAGCTAACAGGTTCCCAAAGCCCAGCCTTGCGTGTAACGCTGGCTGTCATGGTACCGCCGTCCAAACCCCTCTGGTCCCTAGTGTGATTGGCTGGATCTTTGGCATGCATTTGCGGAGTCGCCTGAAATTCTGTCGAACCGCGACCCCGATTCTTGGAGGGTGGAATTTCGGAATGAATTGACACACACATTGCTGCATCGTACTAAACCGCAATACAAATCTCATAGAATCCTGCACAGTTAGCAAATGCACATTTTGCTGAATTTGTCTTCTGCGCTTTGCAAAACAGGTTGATGAAGTAGCCAAGCGCTAGCTTACCACCTGAAACCAACCTGCCGACCATTGCCTCACTGGGAAACGGCCGTTCTTGATAACAACATTCTCTCATCTGGAAGGTGAATCTCTGACTAGGCTCGCTGTCGCCGCCGCGCCCATGGAAGTCAGACCAGCTATATAATGGATTCCTCATTCAAGTGACTCTCAGGCATTCATTGATCATCAGCATTCCAGAAGAATTCGTTTTCTTTGAGGAGTGAGATTCACTTTTCCTCCCGAGCCAAACTCAGCCCTTCTTTTGCATTAATTCTATACGGTCTTCCGAAGATCATCCTCCAAGCTCTCCTCCGCCCCTTGAACACATTCAGCCGAAAGAAGATGGCTTGCACCATCGGCAGCAGGCGCAATGGCAGGCGCACCGTAGTCTGCTCCGTCCTCCTCCTCGTCCTCGCAGTCTCCATCAACATCCCCGTGTCCCGCGCCGACGCCTCATCCTCCTCCTCCTCCTCCTCCTCCTCCGATGGCGGATCCGACGGCCCGCCCAAGGTGGGAAAATCCGCAGGGTCCATCACGAGCGTGGTGAACAACCCCAAGCCCGACGGGCACGGCGAGGTGGACGACGGATTCCGCGCGGACGTTCCCAAGGCCGTCCTAGCTCAGGACGATGCGGGCGCGACGTTCGTGGACGTGAAGCAGGACTCGCTCGCCATTCCCGATGTGAAGAAGGCCGGGTGGAACCGCATGAAGTGCCCCCCGCATCTCCCGGTGCCCGGGCAGGGCGCATGCACGCCCGCGAACTGCAGCAAGGGCGGGATTCCCGCCAAGTGGAAGACATCCAACCTGCTGAAGCACAAGCTGGGAGTGGAGATTTACGTGAAGGGAAATCCGCTGACGGTGAAGAAGGCATCTCCGCAGACGTGCTGCAACACGTGCGCCGCCACGCCGCGCTGCACATACTGGCAGTTCATTCCCGATATCACTATCGACGGCACCAAGTGAGTGCGCTCCAAGCGACCTAGTGCGAACGCCCCTCTGCATTTCCTGCACGCCGCATTCTAGATCATCCGAGCGTCTCAATCCTTCCGACTCGAAAGCCTCCAGAGGGGGCTTAGTCCTTTTGTCTGTCTCTCACCGACGGCGGTGTGTCTGTTGTGCGTTGTGCGCGCGTGGCAGGACCCCCGGCGCGTGCTTCCTGGTGCACGACGAGATCGACTACACGTGCGGGCAGATCATCGCGCAGTACGCCACGGAGACCAAGCCCGTGCCCCTGCAGGTCCGTCCGTCCGTCCGTCCCGTCCGTCTCCGTCCGTCAATTTCGCTTGATTCCTGTTCCAAATCTTATTCTCCGTCATTGTTTCAATCAACCGCTTCGATCTGCGATGCTACTCCCTTGCAGGTGCGCCTTGGCGGCGAGTGCAACAGCGCGCCGGAGATCCTCAACGACCCGCATCTGGTGGGCGCGCACGGCACGCACTTCGACTTCAACGGCCGCCCGGACCGCGCTTTCTGCCTACTCACGGACCGCGACCTGCACGTGAACATGCTGCTGCGCGGGTACTACGACGACCGCACTGAAGGCGCCGCGCTGGTGGTGGACGGCAAGGCCGTGCACACGTGGATCAAGTACGCGAATTCGCAATTTGTTCTTTCACATTGCCATAATCACTGGTTCTGAATGGTTCTTGAACTTTCCTTTACTCCTCTCGCCCCCTCCCTTCAGTCTGATTTTCCCTCTTTCTTGATGTCATGGCGACAGGGAGCTTGGTATTGTGTGGACAGCCAAGGGTAAGACCCACAAGGTGCGGCTGGCGGCGCGCAGCGGCAAGCAGCAGGAGCGCGGCGCGGGATTCATGAAGACCATCGAGATCGACGGATACCCCATCAAACGCATGGCGGTCGGAAACTCCGTCTCCGCTACAGGCGGAATCACTATCACCTTCAAGGATCTCGAGCAGGAAGGCCCTTACGACGTGGATTACTACACTCTCTCCATCGACGGGCTCGTCTCTCTGGACCTTCGCCTGCGCGTCGCGAATCCGAAACTCCAGACTCCGACCGACGCCGAGGCGCACATCAACGTCGGGATCGTGGAGCTCGAGCACACGGAGGAAATCCATGGCGTCCTGGGGCAGACCTACCGTGACGACCACTCGCGCCGCGCTGCGGATTTCCAGAAGCTGATCGCGTCGCTGCACCACCCGATCTCCGTGGATGGGGAGAGCGGGAAGGGTTTTCTGGACGGCACGCCGCGGTCGTATGAGAGCAGCTCTGTGCTCGCCGTGGACTGCGCTCACACCACGTTCGCGCGCGCCAAGGAGCTCAGCCCCGTTGCTGATTATGGGATGTAGGCGGTGGTGAGCGGAGGTGAGGAGCGGAACAGAGCGATGGTGGTTTGCGGCAGAAGGTGGAGAGGTTGACACCACAAGCCTGGGTTTCGTACACTGCATTGCTTTTGAGTATATAGGTTTTGCCTTTCCTTTTCTTTCTTGGTGGGCTGCCTCTTGTTGCTTTTCTTTGTTTCTTCGGTGGGCTGTGTGTGTGCTGAGGTGGGCTGATGTTTGGTTGTACTATATCTGAAAGTAGTGAATGTTTCTGCCTGGAAGATGGTCTTGCGTAAGATCTGCTGCGATCAGTAGTTGATCGCTCCTAGGTGTCAAACATATACACATTATATAATTTTGGGTAGGCTGTAGTGGGGCAGATACTGTGGGGTACAACCCCTTAGGTTTCTTCCTTGTACCAAAATCCCTCGATAGTCAACTCATTCCTGCCTAGCTTCTAAGATGGTATCTAGAGCAGTAGGTCGTTAGGACCTAAGATTAGGGCCCACCTGTTACAACGTTACCTCACCTACGGCCTTGCCTACCTGCCTGCCTTGCCTGCTGCCCGCGCGCGCCTCGGCTGCACGCGCGCGTACCTTTTTTTTTTTAGTGCGCGCCGCATAAGCAGCCCGCGCAGCCCGTTTTCGGCCCCGCGCGCCACGTCAGCCGCCCGCGCAGCCTGCTGCCGACCCGCGCGCCGCTTAAGCCGCCCGCGCGCAGCCCGCTTAGGCCCCGCGCGCCGCGTCCGCTGCCCACGCAGCCCGCTCCTGCCCCAGCAGCCGCCTTAGGAGCGCGCGCGGCGCGCTGCTGCCCCGCGCGTCGCTGTAGGAGCTCGTGTGCGGCCCACTGCTGCCCCGCGAGCCGCCTTAGGAGCCCGCCCGCGGCCCAATGCTGCCCTGCGCGCCGCCCCAGCCACTTGCGCGCCGCCCCTGCAGCTTGGGCGCCACCACTGCAGCCTTGCACGCAGCCTCTCCTGCTGTCCTACACTTTGCTTTGCCGCCTGCGCACTAGTTTTACCTGCGCTGCAAGCATGGCGACTCTCAACGTGCTCGCGTTCGATCCTGACGGTCGTCCAGTAGAGTTCGCCACCTGCCTCGATGACCTGCAATTGTTCCTTCTGACTGATGCCAAGGACGGTGTTTCCCTGTTCGATTACGTGTCTAGCACTGCCGTTGCTCCTGCTGACACTGAGCCTGCTCTAGACCGCTCCCAGTGGCAGACCCGCGATGCTGCTGCGCGCCTAGCTTTTCGCAACCATCTGCCGATCACAGAGCGCGCGCATTTTAGCCAGCACAAGACTGCCAAGGCACTGTACAACGCTGTAGTTGCCCGCTACTCTTACCCGGCCACTGCAGCCCTCGGTCGGCTTATGCTACCCTACATGTTCCCCGACCTGTCCTCGTTTACCACCGCTGAGGACCTCATCACTCACCTACGCGCTAGTGACACTCGCCTTCGTGCCGCCCTTCCAGCCGAGTTCCTCGCAGAGAACCACCCCCCGATGTACTTTACTCTCTACTTCCTCATCACCCGCCTCCCTGACACTCTTCGCTCAGTCAGGGACCACTTCCTCGCCCTTGACCCCCATTCTCTCACTGTCGACGACCTCGAGAAGCACCTCCTAGCAGCCGAGAAGAACATTCTAGCTGTAGGTGCTGCTCGTGGCACTCCCCGCACTCCCCTCTTTGAGGGGTGCTCCCCCTCCCCTCTTACCCCCTCCTACGCCTCCGCAACTGCTGGTGTCGACCTCCTTGGTGCTGAGAAGGTCGCAGCTGCTTCCGCTCCGAGTGGGAAGCGCAGCGGCTCCAGGGGAGGCAAGGGTGGAAGGGGTGGCGGACGTGGCGGTGGAGGGGGCGGTGGTGGAGGCGGCGGGGGCGGTGGAGGTAGTGGCGGTGGTCGTGGGGGTGGAGGTAGTGGTGGGGGCGGTGGTGGTGTCGGGAGCAGTGGTGGTGGCGGCGGCGGTGGTGGCGGAGGGGGGAGTGGTGGTGGCGACAGTGGTGGGGGCTTGGGTGAGGCGGGTGGTGGCCAGGGGCACCAGCAGCAGCAGCAGCAGCAGCAGCAGCATCAGCGCCAGACCCCCACGTCTCAGCAGCTTCATGACTGGTACGCTCAGCGTGGGGCGTCTGAGGGTCCTGGTCGCTGCCCCTATATCATTCGCGCAGGTCCCCGCGCTGGTCGCCCATGCATCGGTTTTCACACTGAGTACTGTCACGATTCTAATCTGTGCGTAGAGCCGTAGATATATCCTCGTGACTAATAAGAAATATAGAACAGTACAGTAGGGAGGATGATTAGCGAAGCGGGGTGGGTGAAGCTACACAACCGAAAAAGTAGAGAGTTGGCGGGCGAGAGGGATCCGTTAGCACAACGGTAACCCGACGCAGATACTTAAGAAATAGGCAAGTAGAGGAAGGATTGCTTGCGTGATTGTTTCCACACTTATGCTTACTATTCCGTCTACCCCAACGAACTGAGCACGTGAAACCAAAGCCGCAAGCAATACAGATCCCAACATTCGGTTATCCAGTCAGCCGAGCTAGGGTTTCCAGAGCTAGATACAGGTTGTGTTGCAGGACTTCCTGACAATCACGCAAGGATCTCGATGCATCGTCGAGAGTTCTTAAGAATGAGACTGTGGAACGACACCGATGAGTTGAAGCCTACGGAGGGGAGGCGTGCAGAAGAGATAGCAGCGCGGGGAGACGCGAGAGCGGCACGTGGCGAAACGGATTCACCTAAGTACCGGAATCCACACCAACGAGCGCGCGTGGTGGGAGATAGCATGGAACGAGCGCGAACTGTCGTCTCGGACCCGGGAGATACTCCACTCGACGCTCGCTGGACAGAGAAAATACGTGAACGCTGGAAGAACCAAGAAGCTGCGACCCCGCAAACCGGAATGCCTGGGATGCCTCCGAGGAAGGAACGGATTGAGACACGCTGGAGGCCGACGGAAAGCCTCGTACAAGAGCCCATGCAAGGGAGAGCCTTGATACATAGCGGCGCCGCGGGCGCTCCAGGCGATTCACAGGAGGGACCAAGCACTGGCGGAGTTCGATGGAAGGCGACTAACTTGCCTAAGGTGGAGGTGGCAGAGCGGTATACGGGTATTCCTGGCGTGGGGCCCAGCCTGAAGAATTACCTGATGCAGCTCGAGACCGTCCAATATTGCTGGGAGCGTGACGGATATGACCCGGCTGAGTTCTTCCGGAAGATGGTGGGGACGCTGGCAGGCGAGGCCGAGACATTCTACCGCCTGACCCGCGACGAAGTGTTGGACGAGCTGGCGGAAGGAGAGATAGTCAATCCTACGGCCCGCTTCCTGCAGCTGTTGCGGAAGGAGTTCGCGGGGCAGACCAGGGCGCGCGTTGAAGAGTTCCGGGACTTCCGCCGTAAGAGGGAAGAATCACTACTGGCTTACTACTGCAGGCTCCGGGAATTAGCCGAAGACCTGGAAAGCACAGACGAACGCCTGCTGGTGAGGAAGTTCGTACGAGGGCTAGACGAAGAGCTGAAGGGAGTAGTGCGGAGCATAGTCTATAGCATCGGCGCCGATGTTACTCTCAAGGAAGTTTATCTGCTGACGAAGAAAACGGAACAGGCGCAAAGACTGCTGGATCTAGAAGACTCGGACGGAAGGAGCCGGGCCAAGACGAGCTGGGCAGCAGCCGCGGTACCCAATCCTACATCTGGGGGCAGTAGCAGAGGGGACCCACGACTTTGTCACACCTGCGGAGAGCATGGGCATTTGAGGCGTGAATGTCCCAGCGCGCCGACATGCGAGCAATGCGGGAAACGCGGGCACCGGAAGGAGGACTGTTACAGCCGGCCGAAGGACACGCTGGGGGCAACGCGGGAGGAGCTCCAAGCCGAAGTCAAGCGGCTGCAGCAGAGACTGGAGCAGCTACCGAATCAGAAGGAGGTAAAGGCGCGAGCAATGTTGGCGTACGAAGAAATATACGATGCGGAGGAAGAGGAAGAGGAGGAATATATTCGAGAGTACGCAGCCATGGCCTATCCTCGGGCTCGAGATGATATCAGACTCCGACCCCGCGTTAGCCAGTCCCAGAGCAGCGAAGTGACTAGCGGTTCCCGGCCCCGGGGCAGTCCAGCAGAAGGAGCAAGACCCTCGGAGATGAGGCGGCACCCGAACGAGCGGCTGGTGTGTCAAGCGTCCGTGCTGATTGCTGAAAAGGGGAGTCTTACCGTGGGAGGTCTGCCCGTGAAGCAAGCTATCATTGACACCGGAGCGCATCATGTGCTCATCGGCAAGGGACTCGCTAAACAACTGAAGCTGGATGTATCGGGGCGCACCATCGAGCGGGGAAGCTTACTTATGACTGCCGCAGGGGGGGAACCGAAGTGGATGCCGAAAACCAGGCGGCCGGTGGAAGTGGTGCTCCTACCAGGGACGGAGAAAGAGTGCTGTATCCGACTGCAGTGTGGCGTCTCGGAATCCGAGGACTACGATGTCCTCGTGGGGATGGAGCTCCTCTACCGAGTAGGAGCTACCATTTGTACGTGGCAGGAGAAGGTGCTCTTCCGCGTGCAATACTGGGACCCAGAGAGCACCGTCGGCACGCTGCCGGATCGGTTCGTACGGCAGGAGCCAAGAGAAGCGTATCAGGCACAAAGGAAGGATCTGACTGAGGAGCTAGATGATTGGCCGTGGGAGCGATATGATGCGGAAAACGAAAGGCGGATTGAGAGACGACTCTTGGAGCAGAGCCCGCCGGATTTGACGGAGCGGGTCAGCAGGGTACAGGCATTAGACGTGCCCATATGCATCCTGGAGTTATACGGGGGGATTGGGACAGGCCTAGCAGCAGCATTGCGCGCCGGATGTACCGTCAAGAAGTGGATCCATGTCGAGCGGGATCCAGCCGTGCGGAAGATGGCACGCCACCATGCGGAGCTGCTGCGAGACGAATACCCAGATCAAATGTGGGAGGACGCGCTTCCATACGGGACGGAACCAGCAGTGCACGACGTCCGAGCTATTTCCGAGTGCGTGCTGGAGAGCTGGG